GCCCTGCTCCCCACCTGCCAGTGCTGCTGCGTGCTCCATACATGAGTGAGGGCCTTCAGGGGGCTTCCCAACAGTGGGAGGACAGGCCAACAAGCCACTAGAGGACAGTCTGGTCAACACTGGGGTGGCAGTATGGGACCTCCCTGGTCCCTGCCTACCCCACCCTGTCCCCACCCATCCCTCCCTCTGCACCCACCCCCAGCCCATTCGTGTCCCCTTGCCTGGGGCCGCGGTATTCACCTTCACTTTCCTGCCTCCTCCTGCAGCCAAGTCCCCGTTCCCACACACCGGTGGGGCCTCTTCACTTCTCACAGTTGCTTTTCCTGTTTCTCCTCTCCTTGAGTCTGCTGCAGGGTTGGGGGCCTGCGTCTCCATTTCCACAGTGGTCTTTGCTTCCTTCTCTCCCCTGAACACTCAGTTTCTGCACTGAGCTCTTATGGGGGTGGTGTCTGTATTTTTATTTTATCCTGCTGTGTTCCCAGCTGTTATCATAGGACCAAGCATATGGCAGGTGCTAAATAAATGTCCCCAAAGAAGTGAGGAAGCCAAGGCTCAGAAGGTTAAGTGGCTTCCTAGGTCATGCAGCCAGTATGAGGGGGCTTGGATTTGGAAGTGTTCACGACTGATTTCTGAGATGATGACATGTTGCTCCCATCACGTTGCTCCTGCAGAAAACTGTCTATCCAGACTCACATTTTTCTTTTCTCACTGATATGTGATTATACTTTCCCAACAAAAGTTGAAGCTTGGGATATATGATTGCACGGAGAACCAGCTAATCCCAACTTGAGAAATACCGTGAGGAATAAATAATTCCAATGTTTAAAAACCAGCTGCAACATGGTAAAAGTGCATCTGCACGATGCAGGACGCATCCAGTGGCAGGTGCCACGTGTCTGCCGTGGGCAGAGGTTTAGTCCTGTGCACTTCAGGGCTGTGTGTGTCAACCTGACCTGGTCCCCACTCACCATGAAGCTGGGGGCCAGGCCCTTGTCGACAATTCCTGTGAATGACGACAGTAGAAGAGAATGTGGATCACACCCTAACCATTGACTGTGGTCAGTGTGATGCTGGATCCTCAGACATCCTTGAAAAGTTGGTGCTATTATCGTCATCCCCATTCTACAGATGAGAAACAGAGGCCCAGAGAGATGAACTTGTACAAAGTCAAATACTTTGCCGATACTGGGTCAGGATTTGCACCAGGCAAGTGAGAATGGAGCAGCTATAATTCAGTGTGGAGGGTTCTAGAGTTCAGAGGGGGAGCCTGGCTTCTCAGTGGGGGACCTGGGGGGAGGGCTGCCTTGAAGCACACATGCACACAGTGATAACCATTTAACAAAGTCTGAGAGCAGACGAAGCTCGCGTGAGTAAGAGAACTATAGAGAAGACCCATAGACGGTAAGTTTAAGTGAGGCCTGGAAGGACAAGTAGGAGGGATTCACGCCGAGGAGAGTGTCCCAGTGTCCTGGGCAACCTGCGGGGACTGGCTCAGAAGCAGCAGCATAAGAAAGCTGGGAAAGCCGTGCGCTGAACCATTTGGAAATGCTGTGGAATACAGTGGCTTCCGGTGCCATTGCTTTTATTGAAGGTAAAGGCATATCTATTAATTTATCCATTCATCCATTGGTGGACACTTGGTTACTTCCCCCTTTTGGCTATTGTGAATAACGTTGCTATGGGCATGGGTTGCAAAATTGATTCCAGTCCCTGATTTCAATTCTTTTGAGTACACACCCAGAAGTACGATGCTGGATCATGTTAATTCTGTTTAACTTTTTTTTTTTGAGACAGGGTCTCACTCTGTTGCCCTGGCTAGAGTGCCATGGCATTAGCCTAGTTCACAGCAACCTCAAACTCAAGCGATTTGGGCTCAAGCGATCCTTCTGCCTCAGCCTCCCAAATAGCTGGGACTATAGGCATGCGCCACCATGCCTGGCTAATGTTTTATATATATTTTTAGTTGGCCAATTAATTTCTTTCTATTTTTAATAGAGATGGGATCTCACTCTTGCTCAGGCTGGTTTTGAACTCCTGACCTTGAGTGATCTGCTCTCCTCAGCCTCCCAGAGTGCTAAGGTTACAGGCATGAGCCACTGCGCCTGGCCAATTATGTTTAATTTTTTGAGAAACTGTCATACTATTTTCTATAGCAGTTGCACCATTTTACATTCCCAAGCAATAGTGCAGCTGGGTTTCAATTGTTCACATCCTTGCCCACACTTTTTATTTTCTGTTGTTGTTTTTCAATAGCCTACCTAATGCATGTGAAGTGGCACCTCATTGTGCTTTTGATTGCTTTTCCCTAACGATTAATGATGTTCAGTATATTTCATCTGCTTACTGGCCATTTGTATATCATCTTTGGAGAAATGTCTATTCTGGTCCTTTGCCTATTTTCAAATTGTTTTTTATTGTTGAGTTATAAGAGTTCTTTATGTATTCTGAATACTAGTCCCTTATCAGATATATGTTTTGCAAATAATTTCTTGTATTCTGCGAGTGGCCTTTTCACTCTTGAGATAGTGTTTGTTGATGCACCGAGTTTTTAATTTTGGTAAAGTCAATTAACTATTTTTTCTTCTGTTTCCTGTGCTTTTGGGGTCATAGCCAAGAAATCATTGCCCAAACCAATGACATGAAGCTTTTCCTCTCAGCTCCTATTTTTCAAAAAAGAATTTTATTTAACATTTAAGGCCCTGCTAAAATGTCCAAAGGAGTATTGATAAACTGTAGAGTCCTCATAAACTCCATTTAAAAAAACAATTTATGCAGGTGAAATTCACATGCCATAAAATTAACTATCTTAAAGTGAACAATTTAGTGTCATATAGTACATGCACAATGTTGTCCTCGTCCTCTATTTTTGTATCAGTATTTTATGGTCTACAAACTATGTTCATGTCTATTTTCTCATTTCAGTAATGAGAAATCTTCACAGTAATCCTGAGAGCTCAACAGAACAGCAAACCCATTTCACAGGAACCGGGAAGAAGGGAGGGGGTCACATACCCTTAGCACATTGTGCAGCAGGCACTGTGTCCCCAGGTGCTTCAGCCAACCAGACCTTTGCTTTCCTTGACTCCATGTGGGACCGTTCCATCTACCTGGCAAGTGTCCCTATTAGCTAGGCTCACTGAGCTCCTCCTCTTCTCTGGATCTCCTTATCGGCATCACCTGCCTCTGCTTGACTTTTCCACCTATGATTTTGATTGCTAGTCATCTCCACCTTCTATCTCCAATCTCATTAGCAACTTCTCAAGGACGGAGCAAAGCTTTCAGTAAGACTCTAGAAGTACTGCAGGATGAGTGATGGGGATTTATTAAAAAGCACAGAGCCGGGAGCCCCTTGGAGGTTGTGGGTCCTGAATCTCTGGTTTTAAGAACGAGGAAAGGGAGGCCTAAAGAAGTGGAGCCAGCTACACACAGCTGGGGCCTGACTTTCCACACCAACCTGGAGCCCTTCCTTAAACCATGCCAGCTCTTGGAGGAAAGGGACAGCAGAGACCTGCTCTTGCTTGAGCCTTACTAGGACCCTTTTGCAAGAGCTGCCAAGTGTTTACCTCCTTTGAATTCTGACCACCACTGGGCAGGGCTTCAGCAAACAGGAAGCCACAGCTTTGTGCTGTTGGAGCCTGCCTGTCAGAGCTAGCACACAGGAGCCAGACTCAGGCCCCAAGATAAGTTCTCTTCTCATAGCTCACCAATGGGAGCCACTGATGCCAGGCAGCCTCCAGGCCTGAGAGAACCAGCTGAGACATAAGTGACCTAGGAACCCGAGAGCCAGGCTGTGGTCAGGAAAGGATGAAGGAATTCCTCAGGGCTCCAGAACCAGCCCAGCCCAGCCCTTCCATTTTTGATTTTGACTTGCTTTTTTTGTAGCTATTGTTCCTTTTCCTCTTAGGCTGATGACAGATGTTTGACATTATTCTTAAGCATTTCAGACTTTTAAAAAAAAAAAAAATAGAGTCATAGATTATGAGAACTGGAAAAGTCCCTGTGGAATCATTTCCTCTAGATTTTATAGATGCCCAAGACAGGGTCCAGAGAGGGGACCATCAGTGGGGAGGCAGGGCTGGGACTGAGACCTGGCCTCCAGGTTCTGTGGCCAATGACCAGGCACCTAGCTGGCCTTCCCCAATGTTGCTGGTCCCCTTTCTCTGGGCCCAGCCTGGTGCTGGAGGAGGCCCATGGTCCACCGGGGTCAGGACAGGCCTGGAGCTGACCAGGGAAGGGGCCCTGACAGGCCTCGGGCCTCTGACCATCCTCAATCCTTAAGTTCCATTCTAGCAGCACCCACCATGCCCGGTTTCCAGCTAGATTTTACTCAACCTCTACTGGACATGGCCAACCTTAGGTTAAGCCAGCAGAGTTATTAACCAGCAATGCATCTGTCCACCCCCTTTCCCAGTAGCCCTTCGGGTGTTCACACCGGGCCAACTGGCTTGCTGGCACAGGAGGGCTTCCTGGAGGCAGTGGTGGGAGGTGCGCCCGGCTTTTGTCCCTCCATGATCTCCAGGGTGGCCCCACGGGCAGCCTAATCAGGGGACCCTTTGTGTCCTGGAGCCCTGGGGGTTGGCTGACACAGCCGGGAACCTGAGGACCCCGCTCATTCCCTCCTCTGTTCTGCAGGGAGGGGGCTGCGCTCGCCAACGCTGCGCACGCGCGCGGGGGCCGCCGGCCGGTTCGGAAATGACGACCGCCATCAGCGCCCGCCCCCGGCGCGGCCCCGCCCCTCCCCAAGACCCCGCCGCCAGGCGGTCCCGCCACTTTCAAGCCCCGCCCATCCGGGCCTTGCTCCCGGGTCTCATCCCCTCCAGCCCCGCCCCTCGCCCCGCCCCCTCCAGGCCCCGCCCCACGGACGGCGCTCTCAGCTCGCCAGGTCGCGAAGCTGCGCTGCTGGTGCGGCGGGCGCGGGCCGGGAGGGCGGCATTGGCGGGCGCGGGCCGGGCTGCCCGAGAAGCCCGAGCACCGTACGCCCAGCAGGTGGCGGGGCGGCCATGGCAGAGCCTGCGCCGCAGCACCTGTCGCTGCCCTCGGGGCTGCTGGAGCTGTGCGCGCTGCTGGGCGCCTCCCGGGACAGCCTGCGCGGCCTGGAGCAGGTAAGGGGCGGGCGGGGAAACTGAGGCGGGGCGCAGGCGGGGCGGCGGTTGGCGGGACGGCAGTCGGAGCGCGGGCTGAGGCCCGCATCCCGAGTGGGCGCCCGGTGTCCCGCGGGGCTGGCGGTGGCTTCCTGACGGCTGCGGCCCCCCAGTCCCGGGCGGGACCCCGCGCGCCCGCGGGCTGCGGGCGGCTGAGCTGGGAGCAAGGGCGGCAGGTGCAGTCGGTCTGCCTGGCTGAGAGCCGCCGCTCCCGCCCCGGCGATGCGGACGCGGCTTCCTTCCCTCCGCTCGCCGCCGGCCAGCTGGGCTCGCCCCTGGTGATTACGCTGCTGCAGAAGCGCTCGCGACCGCTGGAGCGTTTCTCCGGGCTTTTGCCCCCTGACTCCTCTTCCTTCAGGAAGCTCCACCTTGGGCAGGTGCCGAACAGGAGGTGAGCGAGACAAACGCGGCGGGACCTCCCGGAATTTCACAGTCTGGTGGGCCACATCCTTGCCAATTAGCCAATTAAATGATTTCACTCATTACACAAAGATTTATTGTCCCCTAAGTAGTGGGTTCTGTATTGGGCACAGAATAATGAGATTTAAAGTTTTAGGTTTAACCGCCAGCTTCAAATATTCTGTATTTAATCGTTTTGCAATGAAGCCTATCTGTTTCTCTGGCTTGCAGTAATCCCTCCCCCCGCCCCCCCAATTTTACACCCTAGCTGCCAAAGTGACAAATTCATCTCCCTTTCTCTGGGAAAGCAACAGTTTTGGAAATCCTCGTTCTTGTCTCTTTCCCGTGCACTCACTTTTTCTGAGTTCTGGAACGCCGGCCTGCTTTTGTGCCTGCCTGTGGCCCTCTTCCTTCTGGGCCAGTGTGTCCGTGACACTGGCTGTGTCATTCCATCTTGGGATTTCCCTACTTCATTGCCTAGTCATCTGGGCAATTCCTTTCATTTCTTTCCAGATGACAACATTGAAAGGCAGAGAGAGACGTTTGTGTGTTTAAATGATGTCTGGCTGCCCGGGAAAAATGAAGCATGCAGAGCTGATGGGTTGTCACAGAGAAAGGTTCAGGGTTCCTGAAAATAACCACATGAGCGTTGGTTAGTGTCTCCATAGTTTCTCTGGGACCCCAGAATGTCAGTGAACCCGTTTTGACCTCTGTCTCCTCCTACCCTCATCTGTTGATTTATCTTGCTGGCTCTAGTTTGCCAAATGGCATTGCATCCTTTTTCTTCGAATAGGAAATGACCTGGTCTCTTCTCAGTAGTTGGATGTCTGCAACACGTCAGTTGCTCAGCATGAGATGTGTCTTTGGAGAGCAGGGTGAATCAGCCGGAGTGTTTACAGTGGTACTTCCCTGGACTAAACAGCCACAGCATTTGCTCAGGTCAGCCGAGAGTGTGGAGGACAGTTTGCTGCTGCGCATTTTAACTTTTGTCCTTTTTGTTCCATACTCTGATTCCATTAGGGCTTTGGCAAAGGGTGGAGAGAAAAATAGTGAAGGATCAGGAAAACAGGACTGTTAGGTGATGATTCAATTTCCTGGAGTGATCCTGCTTTTAAGGTCGACATTAATGTTACAATTTATCAAACATATAATTGTATTTATTTAGTTTTTTTTTTTAGCAGTTCCATTTTGTATGTTCAAGGGAAGGCTTATTTATTTATTTATTTTATAGACAGGGTCTCACTCTTGTGCCCAGGGTGGAGTGCAGTGGCATGATCATAGCTCACTGCAACTTCAAACTCCTGGGCTCAAGCGATTCTCCTACCTCAGCCTCCTGAGTAGCTGGAACTATAGGTGTGTGCCACCACGCCTGGCTAATTATTTTATTTTTTGTAGAGATGGGGGTCTTGCCATGTTGCCCAGGCTGGTCTTGAACTTCTGGCCTCAAGCAATCCTCCTGCCTTGGCCTCCTAAAGTGCTGGGATTCCAGTAATGAGACACCATGCCTGGCCTTAGTTTTTAATTTTACTTCTTTAAATCACCATTTCTCTGAGGCTTAGGCATTTTTATTTGGTTATACATAAACACAGAAGCCCAGAGGTATGAGAAATATCCAACTTCATGTTAAAGATAGTGCATTGCCCTTTTTGTTTTACTTAGATATGGGGAATGATGTTTGTTTTGTTGGGAATGGTGACAAAGAATTGAAGAATATGGGCCAGTCCCCATGCAAGTGACTGTGGTTACATTTCTCTTCATCCCTGTGCTGTAGAGGTATCCCTGTTACTGGTTGCTATAGAGACTAGACACAGGGTGTGAGGGATCCATCAGAGTGGTGAAAAGTGCTCAGAGAAGCTTCCATAGTGACCTTCCATAGTGACCAGCATAATTATTGTGTGTGAAGGCACATTTTTCAGGGTTTTGGTGGAAAGAATCCTGGCTTTTGGTTTCTAGAACAGCAGTGGCCATCAGAACTGCCTGGGTGGTAGCAGTCAGTGTCCTTTTTCTGTGCTGTCCAGTACAGTAGCCACCAGCCATATGTGGCTCTGAGTGCTTGAAATGCGGCTAGTGAGGATGAGGAACTGGATTTTAAATTTCGTTTAATTTTAATTAATTGGCCAGGCGTGGTGGCTCACGCCTGTAATCCTAGCACTCTGGTAGGCCGAGGCGGGAGGATCGCTTGAGGTCAGGAGTTCAAGACCAGCCTGAGCAAGAGTGAGACCCTGTCTCTACTAAAAATAGAAAAACTTAGCCAGGCAACTAAAAATAGAAACCAAAAATTAGCCGGGCGTGGTGGCATATGCCAGCTACTTGGGAGGCTGAGGCAGGAGGATCGCTTGAGCCCAGGAGTTTGAGGTTGCTGTGAGCTAGGCTGATGTCATAGCACTCATTCTAGCCTGGGCAATGGAATGAGACTCTATCTCAAAAAAAAAAAAAAAAAAATTTTTTTTAAATTAATTTAAATTTCAATAGCTATAAGTGTGGCTACTGGTAACTGTGTTGGACAGCATAGTTCTAGAGTATTAAGGAATCTATTAGTTTCTGTTTTATTTCATTAATAATGGCCAGTCCTATAGTGAAGATTAATGCCATTACATAATCTGACTTAGAAATAAGTCTGTGACTCAAATGAATTAGGGTGTTGTGGTTCTTGCTTTTTTTTTTTTTTTTTTTTTTTGAGACAGAGTCTCGCTTTGTTGCCCAGGCTAGGGAGAGTGCCGTGGCGTCAGCCTAGCTCACAGCAACCTCAAACTCCTGGGCTCACGCAATCCTGCTGCCTCAGCCTCCCGAGTAGCTGGGACTACAGGCATGCGCCACCATGCCCGGCTAATTTTTTATATATATATTAGTTGGCCAATTAATTTCTTTCTATTTGTAGTAGAGACGGGGTCTCGCTCTTGCTCAGGCTGGTTTCGAACTCCTGACCTCGAGCAATCTGCCCGCCTCAGCCTCCCAGAGTGCTAGGATTACAGGCGTGAGCCACCGCGCCCGGCTGGTTCTTGCTTTTGAATTAACTTTTTTTTGAAAACTAAAATGATGGTTTTTGGGCAGGGCGAAATGACTGTCAGACTGGGAGAGGTGACATGTCGTGGTGTTGGTGGAGTCTGGGAACGGAGCCTGTCTCAGCCTGGCAGTGAGGGGCAGCTGCGGCTTGTGTGGCAAAGTAACCTACGAACACTCTTGAGCCAGGACTTGGGTTTTCAGGAATTTATTCCAGTGAAAGAACTGGACATGTGCAAATGTGTGTTGGTAAGACTCATCGTTGCTGCTTTGTTCAGCATGGTGGAGACTTGAGAGCCCCTACATGTCTCTCAGAAGAGGGCTGGGTCAATACATTACTGACTTGTCACTCCATGCCATACACAGCTGTGAACAGGGATATCCGCCACACCATGTAGTTATTGCATTTGTGAAACAAAGTTATAAGTTTATATACATATAAGTTTATATTATGTTCTTTCCTTTATTATTTCTATATTGTTGTTATTTTTAAAAATGAGACTATATTGCTTATCCATTCAGAAAAGACAACAGGGATGTCCATTTTGAGAAAAATGGAGGTATGATGAACTGGGGAATGACAAGAAACTTGGGTTTGGGGCACATCATTTTAAGCAACTACAGGGAAATAGAGTGGTGACAGCCAGTGTGTTGGTGCTAGTGTGATCACCACTGTTCACTCCAGACTGAGTGGGCCTCTGTGAGATCACCAAGTGCCAGGAGTGTGAATGGAGAAACAGCATCACCTAAGAGACATCTTCTCAGTTGGACATGGTGGTACACGCCTGTAGTCCTAGCTACTGGGGAGGCTGAGGCAGCAGGATCACTTGAGGCCAGGAGTTTGGGGTGGCAGTGAGCTATGATCGTACCTAGGCAACAGAGTGAGACCCTGTTCTCTTCCCCTGACATGAAAAATAGAGTCATATCTTCTGCTAAATGTGGTCACTGAGAGGAATAGAATACAGTCTCACCCTCACCACACCCCTACAGCTTGGAGGGTGCTATAGTACCACTGGGCAGGGCAGAGACGCTCCAGGAGGTGATGGGTGATGAGCAGGGAGGTGGAAGGAGCCCCACCAGGAGCTGATGCGCCAAGGAGGTCTGGGAGAGCCCATGGTCCTGGCCGCAGGGTGGGAACGGCCCTCCTCAGTGAGCTGAGGGCAGAGGGTCTGCAGGCGAGCAGGTGCAGCGAGGAGGGGCTGGGTGTGTCCGGCCCAGTCAAATGCAGGGCCATTGCAGACGTGCTGCTTGTCCTGAGAACCCAGGGTAGGGGTTAGTCGTGCCTGGCTTTGGGGCGAGCTGGCCTGCTCCTCAGGACACGCTGTCCTGTGACGCATGCACATGGATGAAACACACACGGGAAGATATGACGATGATGATGTGGAGAAACAAACATGCAGTTTTCAGTGTGGTGGAGGGACCCCGAGGGGTCTGCGGGACCCTGTGGGCTGAGGTGGGCCCAGGAAGCACCTGGTCTGCTGTCACACAGGGGACACCCATCTTTGGGAGAGTGCACATGTTGGTGGGTAGCCCTGGGCTGGGTGGGAGGAGGCATCTTCCTTCTTGGCCCAGCAGAAGCCTCTAAGGCTTTGATCCTGGTTAATGTATACCTCCTCTGAGCCACGAGTCGTGCAGGTGCTCGGTTTGCAAACATGATGCAGAGACAGGACAGCAGTGAACTGATTTTAGAGGCTTAAGGCCAGGGCCCTGCTATGTGGAGGGAGGGAGGCAGGGCCTACGGGGCTGGAGTCCCAGCTCCAAAGACCCCGAGTTACGCCATCATCATCGAAGAGGAGTATGCAGGTGGAAGGTCAGGTTTTTTGGAAACTAGCAGGAGCTTAATTTTTGGAACTGTGTAAGGGAACTGCAGTGGGCACAGCTCGGGGCAGTTGCGGGGACTCTGGGGCTGCACAGAGGTCTGAGCTGGCAGTGGGGCTTTAGGGGCTGTCTGCTCAGAGCTGTGGGTGGAACCAGGTGATGCCAAGCTTTCCTGAGAAGAGGGAACAGAGGGCTCCGGCCTGTGGTCGCAGCCTGTGCGCAGGTCTGAGAAGGCCTGCGGTGGGCAGTGGGGGGGAGGGCAGCCGGACAGAGGGAGAGCCTGGAGGACAGGGCTTCAGGAGGGGCTGATCACCTGTCCTGCATGTAGTCATTTGCACCTGTGACCGCTTTGTCCCAAGGTGGTTTCACAGTGTGATGATGCACCCCTCAGTCTGTATGGACGTGACTTTTTATGTGAAGAAGAAACAGACTAGCATATTTTCAGAGTTATTAGGTCAGAACTGTCGGATTCTGATAGGAGAGTTTTAGAAAAGTTTTCATATAGCTGAAGAAACGGATTGCTTTCCTACATGGCACATGGAAGCTTTTTAAATTGGGTAATGATATGGATTTCCCATGTGTGATCCTGGTTCCTACTGGTATTAATTCCTCCCCCCTCCCAAATATAAAGAAATTATCGGCGGACTTTGAATGGCATAGCTTACAAGCCATCGTATAGAGAGAGTTGAGAGTGCATTTACTGCCTGAATGCTGTCGTGGTGTAAATGCCTTCAAGTGTGAGCGCTCCTCTTTGGGCACCACCGACTCTTACTGAAATGCTGAGTGTTGGCTCTTCTTTTTCTGTTGGCCAAGGCCCCACTTCTCCTGTGACAGTGCTGTCCTACCTGAGGTCCCTGGAAGCCCTGACTGCCACCCACTGCCACCTCCTGTCTCTCCGAGTCTGAGCACCCAGAGATCCCAGCTTCAGACTTTGCCGTTTGAGCTGCTGCCTTGGCCCGGGCCACTCCCTGCTTGCTCTAATGTCAACCTGGCAGCGATATTTGTTTAGTCCTGACTGTAGCAAGAACTGTATTAAGCAGTGTAGTTAGATGGAAGAGAGAGAGATGGTACGGCCCATGTTCTTTATGTTATTTGAGGGAGGAGTGGAACGATAAAAGGTAAAAAAGAATCTCGTAGCAAGTTAAAGTTTGGAAGAGTCTCTCTCTGTGTCCGCCGGTGCCCATTCACACTGTGCGAGTGCTGGCCCAGCTGGCGTGGAGGGCATAGCGTTGGCAAACGTGAGTGTCAGGGTTTGACGGTGTACAGGGCCTCTCGCTGCGTCTGGCCCCCTGACCACCCTGGGGGGGCCCGGTGTTGTCATGGGGCTTCCTGGCAGTGGTCCTGGGCTGAGTACTTGACCAGTTGTCTCCCTAATTCCCTGCACTTGCTTTTGCAAGGGAAGTTCGGGGACTGGGAAGCGCACAGCCCCTGGCTGGGACAGAGCCAGGACTTGAACCCAGGTCTGCACGTCACACAGAGGATGGCAAGGTGCTGCTCTCCAAGTTTATAGCTGAAGAACCGGCTCTGAGAGGTCACGTGACTTGCCTGACTGCGGGGCCTGGGAAGTTCCTAGATCTCATTGTCCCTCTGGTCATGAGCCTGGGGTGACAAAAGCCACTCACACTGGCACCTTTAAATGACAATTCAAAACGGCTCATTTTTTTGTGGGTGTGGAGGAGAAACAGAGAAAATGAATAGCGGAACTTAGATAGAAAGGACACGATGGAACAAGAGCTGACATTTTTGCAGTAACTCTTATTTTTGTCTTTTTTAGGTTGTCCAGAAAAAGGGAGTCAACGATCTTTCTTCTTTGGATCCAGAGGTTCTGTCTGTTTTTGTGCCTCCTTTTGTCAGCACAGAGGACAGTCAGGTGGCCAGTGCGAGCTGCACCACTCTGGGCAAAGCCAGGAAGCGCTCCTTCCGGAAGAAGAGAGAGAGGCCCAAACCGGAACCCGGGAAGGGTCTCTCGGGGGAGCCCAGAGTGCCGGACTCTGAGGACATCAGCATCTCGGGTGGCGTGGACCTCCTCGCCCTGCCCCAGCTGTGCTTCCCAGGTACGTCCACGTGGGTGGCGGGCAGAGTGCGGGCGGGCGGCCTGGTGCTGCCGGCCACCGGGGTGGTCTGTTTACAGACATCCACATGCAAAGTGGAGTGGAAGGGTAGCGGAGCCAGGATGCCTCACTGCCTCCAGTGTTGGATCAGGGGATTTAGTTTCTTAATCCTGGGAATTTTAAAGCTAAAAGCAAGCTTAAATCATTTACTGTAGTAACCGTTTTTTGAAAAACTGAGTCCTGGAAGAGAGGCTGGTGGATTGGCATTAGCACCGCACCCTTTGTTTATGGTACTTTCATAGGCTTCTCCGCTGTGAGTTAAAATGACGTCTTCAAGTGGCTGGGTTAAAAATACATCCAGTGAGTCCTACCCCGGGCTGTGTCTGAGCCTCCTGGCTTCCACCTCCCTGTTTCCTGTTTCACTGGGCGGGAAGCACAGGCTTGCACAGGGTCCCCAAGCTCAGCCAGTGCTGGGCAGCTGGTGAGCTTGCATCACCAGGCTCCGTGTTCTCACTGGTCTGAAGAGATGTTCAGATGGATAATGGAGTCCTCGCTGAGGACTCGGCATACATCCCTGCCTGGCAGATGCCATCTAGAACATGATGCCATTATATGGCTGCAGGGATTATAATCTGGGCATGGTGGCAGGGGGCATCACCACTGGCAACCAGGCGCGCCCTGAAGGTTCATCTACGGCTCTGAGTGTCTGTGTTGTCCACACGTTCCTTTGCTAAACTGCTTAGCACGCAGAGGGATCGTAAAGGAAGTGCCACCCGGGGGAGGGCTGAGGGAGGTGGACCTGGCCGGAAGCATGGTCAGAAGAATGAACACATCTTGAAGTCAAGGGGCAGCCGGGGATCATCGGAGATGGGTGTGAAATAATTGGTTTGTGGATAGCGCAGGCCTTGGAGTGGATGCCACGTGGCCAGAGTGTCTCCTTTCTTTTTATTCTGCCTGCAGGGGGCGTGTGCGTGGCCTCGGAACCAAAGGAGGATCAGGTCCACTTCCTGGTGCTGACGGACATCTGTGGGAACAGAACCTACGGCGTGGTTGCCCAGTTCTACCGACCCCTGCACGTAGGTGCTTCCTGTGACTTCTGAAGTTGGGTTTAGATTTTTCTTTTATTGTTGTGAAATACACATAACATAACATTCACCCTTTTAACCATTTTAAAGTGTACAATTCAGTGACATGAAGCACATTCACGATGTTGTACAACCACCACCAAAGGCTGGTTCCAAAACATTCCATCGTCCCCCTAAACCCCATATTCATTAACCCTTTGCACTCGGATGTCGAGTATGACTCGACACAGTTAGCATCAGCAGCAGCTCGTATGTCGAGCCACATTCGACACGTAGTTTCACTGCGGGGGCAAGGGGGATTTTTGTCTATTTTTCCAGCATCTTCTCTTGTTTTCATTAGCATGAAAGGACAAGTAAAATGTAAATGTAGAGATGGTACACTAGCTTCCAGGGGTAGATTATTATCCACTAACTTAGAGCAACATTTAGATGGAAAGCTCCATATAATCACACCTCACCCTAATAAAAAACACAAAGATTGTGTTGTTTGTTCTAACAGAAAAATCAAAGGAGGAAGAAGAGAGACGATTTATATTTGCGAAACACATGAATGTGAACCAGGTCTTCATGTGGGTGAATGTTTCAAAAAATGTCACACCATGAAAAATTATAGAGATTAAAATTACTCCTTGAATGTATCAATAATTTAAAACATAAAAAATCCAAATAAATAAGTTTGTATGAAAAGAAACTCCAGTTTTTTATTCTACTGCTGCGCTTTGTAAAATCTGGGGTATTTAAAAAATTAAATCCTGAGTAGAATAAAGGAATTGAGAAAAAAGCAAGTGAGTGCAAAGGGTTAAGCTTTCACTCCCCTACCCTGTCCCCAGCCCTATCCCTGGCCCTCGCAGCCACTGATCTGCTTTCTGTCTCTGTAGTGTGTCTGTCCTGGCTATTTCCTGTAAGTGGCGACACACACTGTGTGGCGTTTTGTGTCTGGCTTTCCGTCACTTAATGTGATGTTTGCATCTCATCCACACTGTGGCACGTGTCAGTGCCTTGTTCCTTTTTTATGGCTGAATAATATTCTACGCGTGGATGGACCACATTTTATCTGTCCATTTATCTGTTGGTGGACATGTGGGTCATTTCCACCGTTTGTCTTTTGCGCAAGGTACCTGGGTTTAGGTTTTGCAAGCAAGTTTTGTTCATCGCACATTTTGGGGGCGTTGTGCGGGCAAGGGTGCTGGGCCTGAGTCAGCTGGCCTTGGAGGAGCTTGTAGGGGAAATGATGTGTCTGAAGGTGCAGTGTGATCAGCCGCATACTTCCAGAGGTTTCCAGGAACAAAAGTGGACCACGGGCCTTAGTTTAGGTGTCCTGGTGATTCGTCAGAGGCAGCCTGTGAGTTCCATGCAGCAGGGACCAGTGGCTGCCCCGGCTCCCCTCAGAGACTGGGGCGATTTTCTTCTGTTTTGGTAGAAGTGTGCTTACGTGTGTCACTTTAGGTGTTGGCAGGCATAAGATGTGATTAGATGGATTCTGTCCCTACGTGTCCTTAATGAACATGCAGGAGTGAAACCTGCCTAACACTCTGAGTGCATAGTCTCCCAATTCTAGAATAGATCCTCTTCCACAGTGTGCCGAGAACGGGGCCGGGAGGTCAGATCTCAGGTGCATGTGCAGAGGGTTACCGTCTGCCCTGTGACGTGGCTGGCCGGGAGGTGTAGGGCCGGCGTCGTCTGGCCTGCCTTCCTGGGATATGTTATGGGGCAGTGCAAGGCAGGTGGAGATCCTGCCTCCCACCCAGCCCGTGTTCAGACGAGGAAGGACCCACAAGTGTTGCATCATTCAGAAGAGCACTTTGGGAGTTTGTTCATGAAATAGCAATCGTAAGGAGAGATTCACAGATTACTTTTATTATCATTAAATATATGTTTAAAAAGTAACAGCCCCACTGGTTTGCGCTATATACACTAGATGTCAGTGTTCCCACTACGCCTGCCGGTCAGGACGTGCGTGGCCCCTTCCTGTCCTCCCAGTGACTGTGTAGTTTCAGGGTGTCCCCCGAACCCCACGTTGCTCACTTCCCCCTCTTCACCACGTATCCGGATGACTGCCGTACCTGTCATTCTGACACGGGCCCTCTTTGGCGCTCTGTTCTGCCTTCTCACTGCACCCTGTGGTTTGAGGGTAGGAACTACATCTGTCTGGGTAGCTCTAGCACCTTCTAGCAGCCACTGTATGAGCAGCTCAGCACAGGAGGGGCCCTACTCGCTTTGTGTGTAGTCATTCATTTAGTTCTCACCACAGCGAATGAGGGTGGGAACTATTAATATCACCCCCATTTTATAGATGAGGAAACAATGGCCCAGAGAGGTTAAGTCACTTGTCCAAGGTCACATAGTAATCAGGGTTTGAACTTGAGCAGACTGACTCTAGAGCAGTGACTTTTTTTTTTATTTCGGCATATTATGGGGGTACAGATTTCAAGGTTTCAATAAATGCCCATTTCCCCCTCCCCCACAAGTCTGAGTCTCCAGCATGACCATCCCCCAGACGGTGCACATCTCACTCATTATATATGTATATACCCGTCCCCCCCCATCTGCCCAACACCCTATTACTGTAATACCTATGTGACCACTTAGGTGCTGCTCAGTTAATACCAGTTTGCTGGTGAGTACATGTAGCGCTCGTCTTTCCACTCTTGGGAAACCTCACTTAATAGTATGGGTTCCAGCTCTAACCAGGAAAATATAAGATGTGCTATATCACCGTTGTTTCTTAGAGCTGAATAGTACTCCATGGTATACATATACCACATTTTATAATCCATTCTTGGATTGATGGGCCATTGGGCTGTTTCCATAGCCTTGAATTTGAATTTGCTGTATAAACATTCGACTGCAGGTGTCTTTTTTGTAGAGGTCATTGGATCTGTTTGGTAATGCCCAGCAATGGGATTGCTGGATCAAATGGTAGAATTACTTGTATCACTTTAAGGTATCTCCATATTGGCTTTCCACAGAGGTTGAACTAGGTTTGCAGTCCCACCAGCAGTGGAGGAGTGTTCCTCTCTCTCTGCATCCATGCCAGCATTTATTGTTTGGAGACTCTTTTGATAAAGGCCATTCTCACTGGAGTTAAGTGATATCTCATTGTGGTTTTGATTTGCATTTCCCTGATGATTAGAGAAGTTGAACATTTTTTCATATGTTTGTTGGCAATTCTTCTGTCTTCTTTAGAAAAGTTTCTGTTCAAGTCCTTTGCCCGCTTTTTAATAGGGTTATTTGATTTTTTCTTGCTGATTTTCGTGAGTTCTAAGTATATTCTAGTTATCAGGCCCTTATTGGATGCGTATAGAGCAGTGACTTTCATTAAGCGTTGCTGGATGGGCCAGGCGTCGTGGCTCACGCCTGTAATCCCAGCACTCTGGAAGGCCAAGGTGGGAAGATCACTTGAGGTCAGGAGTTTGAGACCAGCCTGAGTAAGAGCAAGACCTCATCTCTCCAAAAAAATAGAAAAATTAGCCGGGCATGGTGGCACGTGCCTGTAGTCCCAGCTCCTCGGAAGGCTGAGGCAGAAGGATCACTTGAGCCCGGGAGTGTGAGGTCTCTGTGAGCTAGGCTAACACCAATGCACTCTAGCTGGGTGACAGAGCAAGACTCTGTCTCAAAAAAAACCAAAACAAAACAAAACAAAAACAGATGCTGGATAAACAAACAATGTAGCTGCCTGTCCCTGGGCTTTTCCCTTTACCTAGATATCTTATAAGTACCTCAAATTCAAAAAGCTATCATTGCACCCCTCTATCCCTACAAAGAACTCCAAACAAGCAACCCTCCCCCAGGCCCCAGTTTGTGAGCCCCAAGTATCGTGCCGTTTGTAAGTTCTGCAGCCAGTCGCACCTTCTGCAACCCTGCTGCTGTGTTGTGATCAGGCTCACAGACCCCTGCCCGCTCACAGGCCCCTCCTGCTTGTCCTCTGGCCTGTGATGCTCACGGGCCCCCAGGCACATGCAGAGGCTGCCTCCCCTGTGTGGCTGCTGCATCTTTCCGCCTTTTAAGCAGAGTCTTGTCATCTGTATTGGGTCCTTCTTCGTTCTCCTGGTGCTTTCCTCCTTATCCCAAGGCTATACGCTTCTCCTGGGCAGGCATGTGTCTCCTCCTCTCTGTACCCTCAGCACCTCGTGTGCTGCAGACGCCAGGTGGGAGCCCGGGGACGTCGATTGGCAGGCCGGTGCTGGCCTGGACTGGACGGCAGAACCGGAGGGGCGTGTGGCCAGGCGGGTTGGAGGGGTGGGACGCCCCGGCCTCTGCGTGCCGTGCTGACATGCTGGCACCATTGGAAACAAATGCCGGGATTGCCAGGACGGGGAGGTGACAAGGTCGTGTTGCTTTTCGTCTAGGACGAGTACTGTTTCTACAATGGAAAAACACACTGGGAGCCGTCCTGGTCGACTGTGAGCGCTGCCGGCTGCTGCTTCGTGCCCTTTGCGGTGTGCGTGGTCTCCAGACTCCCCTATTACAACTCGCTCAAGGACTGCCTCTCCTGGTGAGCCTTGGGGTGGGGTCCTCTGGGCTCTTAGGCTGCCGTCACTTAAGGCTGGGATCTGCGGGCAGCAGCGGGGTTTGGCCACAGGCACGCTCTTGAAAGGTGATGGTGGCAACGGCCTGGCTGAAAAAGGAGGACGAAGCCACACTGTCACAAGTAAGACCAACATGGGGCATTCGAGTTCTGTTTGGTTTTGTAAAAAGAGACACACATCAGGAAAAACTTTCCCTACCCATCTGAGAAAATCCGGAGGCTGCTGTTTGTTCTGATGAGTTTTCCTGGTATGTAAAAACAAATGACCCTTTATGGGTAGAATCTATAATGGTCTCACTGCTGGTATTGAATAGAAAGTCTGAGGATGTAAAGAATCTTTGAAAAATCAAAAGGCATTGAGCAGAACCCGCTGCATTCCCATTCGGAGACGCCCTGGAGACACTGAGGGCTGCAGCCCCCACGCGCGGACGGGGTCAGTCCCAGCGGGCGCTCCTGTATGCGTCTCGGAGTTACGGTCTCAGAACCTGAACTCGCTCGTGTGTTTCAAGCCTGAGAAAAAGGCAGCTGACAAACGTTCCCCTTTGTGTCGTCATACTGAGGAGCAGCCTGTGGCAGATCGCTGGACCGGCAGCTCTGTTTTAAGTTTCTTGTGAAGGATGATCATTTTAGACCCCAAGCCTTGCTCACGGGGACTGGCCACTCAGTGTGCTGGGTGAGCAGGACTCTTTGTGCTCCAGTTGACAACACTAGTAATTCAGATTCCCCATCTCATTTATTTATTTTTTATTCACTCATCCATTCATTCCTTTTGGAGACAGGGTCTCACTCTGTCACCCATGCTGGAGTGTGGTGGTACCATCACAGCTCACTGCAGCCTCAGACTCCTGGGCTCAAGTGATCCTCCTGCCTCAGTCTCCTGAGTAGCTGGGACTGCAGGCGCCACCACCATGCTCAGAGGCTTCTCTTGCTGCCGGACCAGGTGGGACCCCATGAGTCAGACACTCTCTCGGCACCACAGCCACCTCTGGACGCTTGATCTTGGCGTCCCCCACCCCAGGTGGTCCCCAGCTGGGCTCATCCTCCCCGATGGTCACACGCCCCTCCTGAAGGCGGAGCTGCGTCCCCCTGGCCTCTGCTGTCACTTGCTGTGTCCATGCGGCCTCTGCTGTCACTGGGCGCAGGGCCAGCCCAGGGCCTGCACCTCGAGAGCGAGTTTGTTAGACATGAGACTGTTCTTATGATTTTAGGGAAGTAACATCCTTAGAGTCTATTCGTTTTATGTATGTGTATCCTTTAATCTAAAGTTTTGCGTGCATAGTTCTAAAAATCAACTTTATTAAGGTGTGATAGATACAATAAAACTCACCCATTTTAAGTGTATAGTTGGATGAGTTTTGACAAGTGCACACACCCGTGTGACCGCTGCTGCAATTAAGAGACAGAACATTCTCGCCCCCAAAGTCCCCCACGGCCCTTTAGAATCGATTACTGGTACCTCTCTCCCTAGGCAACCACTTAGTGACTGTATTTTTAAATCATATCTAGTACTTAAAAAATCAGAAGACATTTTGAAAGCAAACTTTCTCAAGCACTTTCTTTCTAGGTGTTGTTTGTTTATTCCTTACTGAAGTGCAGCACACATATAGAAAAATGCACAAATTCTAGTGATTTTCAGCAAATTGGACACACCCATGTAACCATCAGCCAGACCAGGAAAGAGAGCATGACCAACCCTGCCTCTTCCTGGCACTCCAGCCACCCTGGGAGCCACTCTGCTGTGGCCTGACACCTGGATTGCTCCACTTTTGTTGAAAAGTCCCAGAATTACTGATGCAGATGCTTAGGGAGATTTCAGCTTGATTAGAAGAAATGCTAAGGGTGACAATTGAATTCTCCTTTTAATTTTGATTTGTTTTTTTGTTTTTTAATTTCAGTTTATTGACTCATCTGAAGCTCTGTAAAGATTTTGAAGTTGACAATCCCATAAAAGATTTTGCTGCAAAACTATCTTTAATACCCACTCCGCCACCTGGACCACTTCATTTGGTAAATTAAATTTGGAATTAATTATATTATGTCTTTTCTTTGCAAATGGTACAAGTAATATGTTGAAGATGGCGTAAATGTTTTAAACTATTCCTGAAGCTCTAGCCGTGTTTAAATTCTCCTCAGGTTCCTTCCAGAAAGAGGCATTTTGTGTATTATTTCTAAAGGTGAAAAGTTAAATATTTAAACTTGAGTTTTGCTGAGTGGCTTGTGATAGAGCTAGTAACATGTTGTGGGCCACTTTAGTATTAATAGTTAGCATGTTAGTTCATGCTATTTTCTTATAATTGCTCATGTATATTCTTGCTATGCAGAAAATACATAGAATTCCCAATCCTTCAGTCTAAGAATTTATTTATTTATTTTTTATTTATTTATTTTTTTGAGACAGAGTCTCACTTTGTTGCCCAGGCTAGAGTGAGTGCCGTGGCGTCAGCCTAGCTCACAGCAACCTCAAACTCCTGGGCTCAAGCGATCCTACTGCCTCAGCCTCCCGAGTAGCTGGGACTACAAGCATGTGCCACCACGCCCGGCTAATTTTTTTTTTCTATACATATTAGTTGGCCAATTAATTTCTTTCTATTTGTAGTAGAGACGGGGTCTTGCTCTTGCTCAGGCTGGTTTCGGACTCCTGACCTGGAGCAATCAGCCCGCCATGGCCTCCCAGAGTGCTAGGATTACAGGCGTGAGGCACCACGCCCGGCCTAAGAATTTATTTAAATTACAAATTTCCCTTTTGTTTTTTTGTCTTGAATATCAGAGATGTATTTCATTTGTAAGTGCTTTCTACATAGTGTGATTAATGAAAATGTTATTCTGAGACATGGCACTATATTATTTAATTAATAAGACAAGCATTTCCAAAACTGAGTTCTGTTCTGAGATATGTCATTGGCTATTTCATGAGCCAGGGTTTCAGGGTTACACAAAGTTGGAGGGTAGCAGACTGGGCTTCCCCTTTTGTTCATCGATGTGTCAGACTGCTCAGCTATGTGAGGAAACCTGTTTGACTCAGCATTTGCCAAACTAATTTAACCATACGTAAGATTCTGCTGCTTTCTTAACAGACACTTGTCAAACACATTGAGTTTTGTCAATGTCGAGTCAGTTTCACTGGATTACTCCCTCTAGAAGGTTGTATGTGTAAGTCTTGGTCCTCTACATTTGTTTTTTTTTGAGACACATTCTCATTCTGTTACCTGGACTAGAGTGCAGTGGCATCATCACAGCTCACTACAACCTCAAACTCCTGGGCTCAAGCAATCCTCCTGCCTCAGCCTCCTGAGTAGCTGTGACTATAGGCATGTGCCACCATGCCAAGCTAATTTGTGTTTTTTTCTATTTTTTGTAGAGTTGGGGTCTTGCTCTTGCTCAGGCCAGTCTCAGACTCCTGGCTTCAGCCAGGAGTGATCCTCCTGCCTCAACCTCCTGAGTAGCTTGTATTACAGGAGTGCACCACTTTGCCTGGCTGATTTTTCTATTTTTTGTAGAGACTGGGTCTTGCTGTGTTGCCCAGGCTTGTCTTGAACTCCTGGCGTCAAGTAATCCTCTTGCCTCATCTTCTCAGAGTGCTGGGATTACAGATGTGAGCCACCATGCCCAGTCTGTTTTTTTTTTGTTTATTACTGACAATTGAAAAACAAGTTTGACCTATCAGGAGACACATGATCATGAACATAAAATGTGTATTTTTAATACTGCTCCAAACCCAGCAGTCTGCTGGGTGGGAAATCCTGCAGTGCCTTCCGGTCCAGACACAGAGCGGCGCCTATCTCAGTTCCACTCCCAGAAAGCTTTGCAGGGCATATTTATTAGCTACTTGTTTTCTGCAAGGCACTCATCTTTATTACATGGATAATTAGTGTTTTCCTGTCGCCAGTATGTGCTAGTATGTGCAGTGAAATCATCAAAGTTTACGTTCTTATGCTATAAACTCAGCAAGTATTTACTGAGGACCTGTGAGAGCAGTTAACAAAAGTAAGTCTTTGACTTCAGGACAGTGTCAGGGTCAGCTGGAATTTACTGCCCTCGACCTTTGAACCTAAGTAATGCATACACGATGCTTTGGGCAGCTTTCTGGATCTCAGACTCTTGGGCTCACTGCCCAAAACTCTTGGGCCCCAGTGAGGAAGTTGACTGAGTGTGGCAGTTGGCACCTCGAGTTGCACCCATCCTCCAAGCCTGCCCAGCCTACCTTCAATGTTCATTTCTGGTTTGCCATTTCCCTGCCACTACCCATCAGTGGGCCAGCAGCTTCTCCCACCTGCGTGATGTGGGACCATTGGTCTGTCCACTTCAGTTTATTCTTGACCCTTCAGTTTGTCCTTGCACAGTGGTGGCAGAGATCAACGTGTATAAATTGGGCTCCGCTTCTCTGCCTAAAACCCCATGGTGGTTTCTTGCTGTGTGCCTTCCTTCAACCCTGCAGGCCAGGACCCTGTCTCACTGTCCAACCCTGTCTCATGCCCCTCCCCACTTGCTCACTGGCCTCTAGCCTCACTGGACTCCTGTCAGTTCCCTGAAGGTGCTGCCACAGGGCCCTTGCACATGCTGCTTCTGGAAACGCCATTCCTCCCATTGTCTGTGGCCAGCTCATGCTCAACTTTCAGGCTATACCCAGTTGTCGTGTCTTCAGAAGAGCCTCTCTGAGCAGTCTCTGCCCGCAACCCCATCTCTCTTGCAGTACCAGTTCTTGTCCTGCAGGGCACAGCACAATCTGTGACCTAGTTTGGGTCAGGCTTGTGTACGTGTGTGCCGTGCTGAGGTTTCCTGTTGCTTCTGGCTGGGCTGTCTCTGGTCTGTGCTGCTGAGAAGGAGGCAGGCGGCCCCACAGCACAGGGAGGTGAGAGGCGAGGGCCGAGCCTTGTCCCCTCTGCCCCAAGTCCACCCTCTTCTCTCTGACAGTGCCTGGACTACCAGCCGGAGGAGAGCGGAGATACTGGGAATGCCCCGTCCCTGGTTCACCCTGCCTTTCCTCTGCCCGCTAGTGGGTGTCATGTTACTTGTTTTCCAAATCCTGGGCTTCGTTGGGTGTGCACGATGCAGCCCGTGTACACATGCGGGACGCTGCACTGGACAGGGCGCCGGGCATCATGGGGCACGCTCACCCATGCCCGTGCTCACCCACACCGGGACCACGTAGACACGCCAACAAGCCTCAGGGCACGGCTTCGGGATGTGGGAGGCAACCTGACCTGAGTCCCTGGACAAAACCCGTGCAGATGGGGCCGATGGGAATCAGTTTTTCTTCTCGTCCACATTTAATAAGACAGCCTCATTCGAGGACCTGCTGTGTGTGAGGAACTGCTTGCTGGTGTCCTCAACACCAAGAAATTAAAGTTTTCTCATGTTTCCAGCTTCTCCTGAGAATACGACCTTAGCATAGTGACCTAGGTCCCTACAGGAAGGTAGGGATGGTGCACATTTTGTTTTGTGACCCTCCTTCTTGACGCAATGCCCTGCTTCTCCATGTCTCACCCTTCCCTGCCCCTCCTTGGTGAAGCCTCTCCACTGGCAGCCTCTGCAGCTTCTCTCCTTCCCGTCCCCCCAGGGCTTTGCTCACACTTAGGTCATTCCATCCTGCTCAGTGGACAGTTCCGGGGGCAGGGGAAGGCACCCAGCGTTCCCGGGGGCTCCTGTGTGCGGGCGTCCTGGGCGGTGGGGACTCGCTGTTCACAGCCTGTCTCCTTGGGAAGCTCGGAAGCCCCTCGGGGACCTGCGTCTTCCTCCTCTTGGCTCATTCCATCACAGCCAGCGTTGTCCTGTAGCACTTGATAGGCGTCTGTGAGTACAGAATTCAAATGGAAATGCCATTTAAAAGTAAATCATTTAGAAAAATGTCTTTCTTAACATTTTTAAATTATATGTCTTTAAGGAATTTTGACTATTAAATTGAAAGTACTAAGAAAGTACATAATATATAGTCACTAAGACTAATATATAATACTTAATAATAACTTGAACATGCGTGACTTAGAATTTGTGCTAATTGGGACAGATACTTGGTTTGTAGTTTATCTTTGTCTAGACAGTGAATAGTTTGCCAATTCATTAAATAGTTCAAGGAATTGTGACTTACTTAGAAAAAGATATTTGATACGTACTTGATGAGCTTTTAATGGCAGGTACACGTCTAGACTATTTTGTTATTCTGTGACAGATAAGGTGGCAGCATAAGTCTTCAAAGATGTTTTCTCATTCTGATGCTTTCTGCATAAAAATAGTGAATTTTAGCACATTCCAGCCTCGCTGGGAGCAGCTCTCTGAACTGATTATGGAAATTGGTCGTTGTAGATCTTTAACATGAAGCCGCTACAGGTCGTGTTTCCCTCTCGAGCGGACCCCGAGAGCCCCGTCATCGACCTGGACCTGCACCTGCCCCTGCTGTGCTTCCGCCCCGAGAAGGTGCTGCAGGTGCGTCCTCCCACGCCAGGAGCGCCTCCTGCCCCCTGGCTTGCTGGCCATCAGAAGTGGTGTGTATCAGAGATGAGTAAAGTGCAAGTGTATTCCACCACGGACAGAACCAGTGTACTCAAAGCGTCGGTTTGTTTCTGCTTAGAGCTAACATTCGCTGCCATGCACAGTATTTGCAAATAGCATTTTCTGTGGGGTCTCGGGGGGCTTGTGCCCGGCACATGGAGCCGGGAGACCAGGGAACACCTGCATTCGGTCTGGGTTTGTCGGGTGGCGTGTGTGTGAGCATTTTACATCGACTGTGCTGTGTCGAAAGTGTGTACCCGTGTTGTCCACTCTCCCCCAGATCCTGACGTGCATTTTAACGGAACAGCGGATCGTGTTCTTCTCCTCGGACTGGGCTCTGCTGACGCTGGTGGCCGAGTGCTTCATGGTCTACCTGCACCCCCTGCAGTGGCAGCACACCTTCGTGCCTCTGCTGTCCGACCAGATGCTGGACTTCATCATGGCGCCCACGTCCTTCCTCATGGGCTGCCATCTAGATCACTTGGAAGAAGTCAGCAAGGTTAACTATAAAACTTTCGATTTGGAATGTTAAGTTCTTGTGAGTCCATCCAGAGGACTGATGGGAGGTTGCATCTGGAAGTGCTCAGGAGTGAAGGCAGCGTACACCGTGCTGCCGAGGGATCGTCCTCACTTCTGTCGCTGAGCTCCGGTTGTGCGGGCACCATCCCCACGCCCCATGTCCTGTCTCATCTGTTCTCACACTGTCCCTCCGCAGACCTTGGGATGTTTAAGGCCACAGCATTCCAAGTACTACAGCCTTGTCACGTCTCAGTCCACTTACATTCAGTGTTGTTCAAATGGCTTTGAATGGGTTTTCAGGACGGAGAGTGCAGGTTTGGGAGTAGCTGGAACCCAATTCCAGAGTTTAGCCTCTGCCCTGTACTAGCTTTGTGACCCTGGGCGAGTTACCTACCTTTGCAAAGCCTCGGTTTCCTCATCTGTGAAATGGGGCAAGGGTATGTCCTCACAGTCCTGGGCTCTGAGCTGAGGAGGATCTGGTACCCCGTATGGCATCTGGCACGTAGCTAGGGCTTGGTGCATGAGAGTTCGGTTGTTATCGCTGCATATTTTCTAGTTTCATAAATTAAGCTTCTGTGGTTCATTAACACTACAGACCTTCTTTCTAGAGAAGTTTGTGCACACGTAGCGGCTGCTCACAGTGTTAGCGGGGCTCGGGGCTGGCTGGGGTCAGCAGCCACATGAGTGACATGTAGCTTCCTGGTGGTGAGGGACAGTGAGCCGGCCACCTCGAGTGCCACCCTGGCATCAGGCGAGCTCTAGGGAGGCGCTGGCACAGCCTGTGGCCTACGCTGAGTGCTCCGTGGGTGGCGGCTGTCGTTACTGTTGTGCTGATCAGACACAGCACACACACGCTTGGTGGTGAGCTGCCGCCGTGGGTTTGTGGCAAACGCTGTGACGACAGCAGCAGGCAGAGTGGGCGTGGTTTTTTTAAAACAGCTTTATTGAGATACAGTTTACATACCACAGAGCTTTTCCGATTAAAATGTCCTGTTCAGTGGATTTTGATAGTATTTATGGAGTTGTACAACCATCCACGCTCTAATTTTGGACGTTTTCATCAGCCCCCCCCCCCAGTGAAACCCTGTGGGCGTCAGCAGCCTCCCTTCCCCCGCCCCTGGCAGCCACTCGTCTGTGCCCTGTCCCCATGGCCTTGCCTGTTCCGGACATTTCCTGTAAATGGAACCACTCCCTATGTGGTCCTTGTGTCTGGCTTCTCTCACTTAGCATGAGGTTTTTGAGGTTCTTCCATGCTGCAGCATCTCTGGGCGCTTTGCTGTTGTTGCAGATAGGATTTAGTTGTATAAATATGCCATATTTTGTTCATGCGCTCATCAGCTGGTGAACACTCGGGTTGTTTCTACTTTACGGCTGTTCTGAATAACGCTGCCGTGAACATCTATGTGCGGGCTCTGTGCGGATGTGTTTTCGCTTCTCTTGGGTATACACTGGAGTGGAGTTGTCGGGTCACGCGGTAACTCTTGGTTTAACCCTTTGAGGAACTGCCGGGCCGCTTCCAAAGCAGCCGCACCGTCTGCCGTGCCCGCCAGCGGCGTGGGAGGGCTCCGGTGCCTCCTCACATCCTGGCAACACTTGTCGTTACCGCCTTTTCCACAGAGGAACTGGCATCTTACGTGGCTTCCATGTGCATTTCCCCGATGACTGATGTTGAGGGGACCCTCTCCATGTGCTTATTGGTGGTTCCTACAGGGTAGGTTTGCACTTAATGTTTTGTCTCGAAAATGTCTAAGTGTACACAAAAACCGGGAGACGAATGCCCGAGTGCCTGTGTGCCCCTCGCTGCCTTCGGCAGGCGCCTCCCGCCGCCAGGCTCGCGGCGCCCGGTCCTGCTCTTCCTGGAGCGGTTCGAGGCAAGTCCAGGTGCCAGCAGCTCCCCACGCGTGCCGACAACGGCAACGGCTGGGCTGGCGCCATTCTCCTCTCGCGGAGGAGCAGGAGCGCGTCTGTGTTCCTGCCAGCCCGAGTGACTCACCAGGGGAAACACACTTTCGGAAAAGGCCATTCAGACCTCTGTGGAAGGAGCGGAAAAACGTCACCCAGTCCCTCTTGCAAACGAGAAAAAAAATAAGCCATGATTGAAAGCTTAAAGTCGTTTCTCTGTTTTCAGACATTAGGGGAAAAAAAAAACATCTTGTTTCAGGCTCTTCAGAAGGGAAACTTTTTTGGCATATTCACAGTCCTGGTCATCAGTCACAGAGGAAACCCTTTCAGTGATGCATCTGTTCTGGAAGATTCCAGGAGAAGCAGCACGTCTTTTGGGTTTGCTGGGACGTTTGTTTTTGTAGCTGTGGTGGTCCTAGGGCACGCCTGCCTGCCGCTCTTGCAAATGTCCAGCATTAACGCTCACCAAGGGCGATGCTGTTTACCTGGCTGATTTACTTTCTCGTGTATTTGCTCTGTAAGACTTTGAGGCCAAGAACATGTTTGCGCATATTTCGTGTGGCCCCTGAAACACGTCTTAAGAGGTGGGGCCCAGACGGGTCGGGCCTTCAGACGGCGTCTGGCATCGCGTTCTGGGGACTGTTGAGCCTCAGAACTCTAGTGCGTCACTCGCTATTTGTGTATCCTGTCACACAGAAGACTCTGCAAATACCCCCTGTGCATACTTCAAATAGTCTGGGTGTGCGTGGTCACTTAGCTTCGGTCCCTTCCCACGTTCTGGTTCTTGGAGGGGCAGACTGACGGGGAGTTAAGTGGACACATTGGGTGTGGGAGGTTGGCACTCACTGGAGTCCTGGAATGTTCTCTCAGGACTCCATGAGGTAGGACGTGCAGTGTTTGTATCAGGGCAGGTGAAACCTTGACAACAACATGTATTAGAATCTTGACTCAGAGAGAAAGGCTTGTGGATAAAGAAAACGTGGTCTGTCCATGTCACAGAATATTCAGTCTTACAAAGGAAGGGAATCCTGGCACATGCTACCACACGGATGAGCCTAGAGGACATTATGTGGACTGAAACAAGCCAGTCACCAAAGACAAATACCATGTGATTCCACTCACACGAGGTGCCTGGAGGAGTCAGAGTCACAGAGACAGAAAGGAGAATGGGGGTTGCCAGGGGCTGGGGGCAGTGGAGAATGAGGAGTTAGTGTTTCCAGGAGACAGAGTTTCAGTTTGGGAAAGTGGAGAATTCTGGAGATGGGTGGGGGTGATGGCTGCCCAACCACGTGAATCTACTTAACTCTATTGAACTATACACCTAAAAATGGTTACGATGGTAAATTCCATGTTTATTTTACTATACTTAAGAAAAATAAGAGAAAGGCATATTTAATCAAATTTAGCCCGTTACCATAACTCATGGTGTATGCTAGAATTTTTTTGTAGAGACAATGTAAGGCTTTGTGTGCATATTAAATAGGGTAATTTATTTAATGATGACACTATCTGTGTTTTGCACTGTCTGTATTTGCATTCACTAGTGCCATTTAATGACGACACTAGTGAATGCAAAATATATTTGTGTTTACATATCCGAAGATTGTTACGCCAGCCTTCACAAACCAATCCTTATTTTCTAGGAAGGTGACGGTTTAGTCCTGATAAACATCGATAACGGGAGCATCAGCTACTCTAAGTCCTCGGACAGCGACATGAACGTCCCTGACCTCCCTCTCCTGGCAGCACAGACGTTTATTCAGAGGTAACGGGAAATACTCGTGTTTGAGAACAGCTTCGTTCAAATACGTATTTGCCACTTTGAGTGTCTTTTCCGATTTCATATTGTGGACAGATGTTTTGTGTATTTATACGTTGTGTGACAGTGATTTGTCTTTATTCTGGTCTTGTTTAAAAGCTACATATGATCTTACAGAGTTGGGGACAGTCACATCCCCTGGGAACCTCCCCAACCCTCTGCCCCGGGCCCCAGCATCCTACGCCTGTGCTCTGTGTCGTTCCTTCTCCTTCATTCATTTATTTACTGGCTGCGCATCGAATACCCATGATACACCGGCACTGGGCAAGACCCCTGCACTAACGGCAGAACAGCGTGGCCCCTGCCCCTGTGGACTGTGCTGGCCGTGGTCCGTCATCCCTGAGCAAGCAGCTGTCCTTCCTGTCCCTCCCCCTGGCGCACCGACGGTGCTCTTAATTTTTTATACCTTGTTTCGTAGCTGTTTTTGTTTTCTTTCATCTCTGTCACTAAACATCATTGGCCAGAGCAGGCATCAGCAAACTTTTTCCAAAGAGGGCCAAGTAATACATACCTTAGGCTTTGGGGCAGAGGGGCAGGGCAGGCACTTTCTCCCAGCAGCTTGCCAGGAGCGGGAAGGAGGTGACTTGTTACTTATGCCGGGAGAGGGCGTGGGCTGTCCTGGTGTGCCCCAGGACCGAGGATGTGGGCTGTCCTGTGGGGCACTTCTTTTCCTTCAGGATTTTATGAAATGGCAGGAGAGATCCTGTCTTTCAGCCCTTCAGTCCACACAGCCTGTGGGATCCGACTGCAGTCAGATCTGGAGTGTGGCCTGGAGAAGCCAGGCAGGAGGACGTGGCATAGGCCGGGCTGTGCTTGTCCTGGTGAAGCCTGTGGTGCCGTTTGTATTTAGATGCCATTTCTCCCATCTAAGTACTAACCAGCCCCGACCCTGCTTAGCTTCTGAGATCAGACGAGATCGGGTGCATTCAGAGTGTTATGGCTGTAGACTAGATGCCATTTCTAATCTCTTTGCCCCCTTTCTTTTGCCTTTCTGCTGGGAGATCAGGTGAGGCAGGGGCCAGCGGTCCTGGTGTGGCCCCTTCCTCCGCTTGGCTTTTCTGATTTCCGACCCTTACCTGGTGTGGATTACTCCTCCTGCCTGACAGCTCCTGCAGGATGCAGAGCACACCTCCTTTACTCTTGTTCCTTCCACCTTCAATCTGAAGCTCCCAAAGCCAAGCCGGGGGCAGAGCACAGGAGGAATGTTTGTTTCTCTGTCTGCTGTGGGCCTGGCACCCCAGCTCTCCCCCTGCTGCCGGGGAGTTTCCCTCTGCATGACCTTAGAAGGAGGTCATTTTTGCATTCCTAATAGAATCATTTACTTTCTCATAAGCAAAGGCAGCTTCCCTGACATTCTAGAACTAGCCTTTGTAGCTTTTGGTGGAGTGTCACATGTGTTCACTTGGCTGAGTGTTCCCGGTAAGAGGGGGTTCTTGCCTGTGTCTGCGTATTGTCATTAGGATTGCAGAAAATAAACACGCACAGTGCGGAGGTCGGGTCCCCATGTTGGCCGGACCTCCTAGAATGGGGATGTGGGTGTCCCGTCTCCTGCAGTCTCACTCTGGGAGGCTGTCTTATACATGTGAACTAAATTGTGTGGTTGGTGACCCAGGCTGCAGCGGTGGGTCTCCCCACCAGGTCCGGAGTGCAAGTGTGCCTCCCCTATGGGTGTCTGGCCAGGAGGGACAAGGGGTAGTGGCCTGCTTTCCTCAGCTTTCCCAAGACACCACTGGTGCCTGGTCACTCTCTGCCCCAGTCCCCTTGCTGCTGCCCGGCCCTCCTGGACGCAGGGACAGGCCCCCAGCTCAGGGCTGTGCTGGCTGAGTGCTGGGTGAGAGAGAAGGAGGTGATTCCGGAGTGGACAGCCTTCTCCTTCAGATCCGATTGTCCTTGCACCAGAGCATCCAGGCAGAGCAACTGCCACTCCAGATGGCAGCATGGCGTTTTTTACTCAGGGAAAGTCATTGAAAGTTCTCTCCTTGCCACACTCTGTCCTGCCGGGTCAAAGGCCAGTGTGGTGCCAGGGAGCAGGGCATCGCAGTTACCAAGGGTCTTCCAGGCAGGGGTGGCTCCCAAATCAGGCTCAGCCAGGGCTGGGGACGTGCCTCTTGGCAGCTGATCCTGGCGAATCCAGAGTCCCAGCCCCTGTGTGCTCCTGCTGTCTGCGAACCTGGTCTCACTGCCCTGCTCCGTGCTGGAGCCACACTGGCCCCACAAGGCCACCCCCACCTGCCGCAGTGCTGGGCGCCCCCTCCCCACCGCACCCCCATCGGGATCAGGTTCCAGGCTGTCTCCTCGGAGAACTCCTCCCCCGCCTGGTCTGGCTGCCTTCTGCTTCTGGCTATCGCCCCCTTTTGCTTCTTGGCCTGATCTCCCTGCCTCTTGTTTTGAGGTTTATCTGTATTCCTATTTCTTCCACTGGAACGTAAGCTCCATGGTGGCAGGGGCTCGGCCTGTGCTCGCCCCTCCTGCCCAGCACTCAGATTGACACCTGCCATATGGCGGGTGCCCAAGAAGCACCTGCAAACCCTATACGAGTCAGTTCTGTTTATTTTGCGTACTTCAAATAGCCAACTTGCTGGTTGATTTCCAAAATCCCTCTGAAAGTGCAGCCTTGAGCAGTCCTGGGAAGGCCAGGTGTCAGGTTGACAGAGACAACTATGGGTTCCTGTCCCTGAGTGAGGACCTCCAGATGAGTAAGTGGCTGTCCCCTGGCGGGCCACGAGTGGTGACACCAGGACGTGTGGTGCAGGGCATGGAAGGGTATCTGAGCCTGCCCAGGAGGGGTGCAGGGGAGGCTGCTGGGAACCGTGACTGTCCCTCCTGGGTGGCCCTGACGGGCTGGTCAAGAGGCGGCCTTACCCGGGAGCCTTCAGTGTCCTGGCAGAGGGTGTGCCCTTGCCAGGCAGCGCAAGGGGGCCGAGACGATTCAGCTGGGATAAAAATGTGCATGGTCTGAAGTCAAGGCCTTTGTGCATTTATGTTTGGAGGTGAATAAGCTCCTCCGGTGATGTATTTTTGATGACCACTATCCAATTATCCGTCAGTATTTTGGGCATTCTAAAGTGTCTCCCAGGTACGAGCGGGCTGTGCTGGGGCAGTCCGCCGTGGTGAGCCTCGGTTGCCTGTGACGCTCAGCTGAGCCAGCGCCGTCTGCTTTCCAGGGTCCAGGGCCTCCAGCTGCACCACGAGCTGCACCTTGCTCACCGCAGCTCCAGCACAGACCTGAACGAGGGCCGAGCGCACAGGCGGGCCTGGCAGCAGAAGCTCAACTGCCAGATCCAGCAGGTCACCCTGCAGCTGCTCGTCAGCATCTTCAGGTATGTTCAAGAGCACTTCCCGCATCTGGAGAGGCGGCAGTCCCATGTGGAGGCCTTCAGTCCCATGTGGAGGCACTGCCCCAAAGCTTAGGCGTTGGAATAAATCCACAGCAACAGTGGGAGAGGCCTGTCCCAAACCCCATACCTGCCCCAAGCCTTTTCTTGTGATTATTGCGATCAGCAGGACTATCAGAGTTTGTCTTTCTGCTCTGACCCTGCCTATGCCTTACTAGCCCTCCCTCCTTCCAGCGACCACCTGGGGGGGACTGTTCCCGCAGTGGCCCTCTAGGGACACGTGTGCCTGAGACCTGCAGGGAGAGCTGGTCCCGCCGGCCTGTACTGGCCGGAGGCTCAGGTCGGTCCAGGGAGGGCTCTGTCCCGAAAGGCCCACGTTCAGGGGCTGGTGACTGGACAGCTGGGCCACTTTGACGTGACTCATAAACTAGACAAGGAAACCACCTAAAGGAGAGCCACCAGGCTGGACGGAGCACTCGGATTTGCCGTTAGAAAGTCTTCTTTCTCCTCTTTCCTGTAATTACGTGGTCTGATGTCTCTTACATTCCTTCACTTCCCTAGCATTTGAGCCGGAATTGGTTAAGTGAACTAGTGAAGTGCGTTCATTTTATCACAGTACAGGAGTTGAGTTGCTATTTCTGGCCTAAATGTGCAGCCGTTTAAGGAATGTACGGTGAACATATGCCCAACCTTGTACCAAAGCTTTGCAAATAAGTAATTTTTAGTGCAAGAGCCTTTAGGCCTTTTCTTTCTTCCAACCCTTTGTTCTCTTTCTCTTGCAGCGTCTTTCTCTCCTCCTTGCTGCTTTCTCCCGGGTCCGGTGGCACAGGAAGCGCCCCGACGCCGGGTCTCGTCTGCTGGAGGCCTTCTGCCTGGCAGGGGCTTAGCGCAGCTCCCCTGGCCTGATAGTGCCCTGTGTGCTTGCTCCAGAATGGGAACGTTGATGGCCTTATTCTTTTGATGTATTTATTTATACAGAGAAAATAATTTATTAGGGAAAAAATGGGATGGTGTATTACAGACAGGGGGTATTATTGCTGCTCAAAGCAGCATAATCAGTGTGGTCCTGAATATGTTGTTTTCCTTTTGTTCTTTGAAGACAAAATCTTTCATGAACAAGGTGGTTTTTAAAGAACACTTTACAAGCTCAATGAGTTGATTAAAAAGCAGAAAATATGATGGCAGATTATACAACTTCATTTCCCCTAGATGAAATAATTTCTTCCCCCTCACATCAGAAGAAAACAGTGAGCACACGACGTCCTGAATGTGCCCCATAAGGTTACTGATTCTACTTGTGGAATATTTAGGTCGGGGAGGTCACGTGCTGAAATCCCCATGGATTGGGAACAGTTGATGAGGAAACGGGGATCCAAAGAGGCAAAGTAACTTTTCCAGGCAGGCTGGTGGCTGAGCCGAGCAGCTCCTCCTCTGTTGTCACCACCTTGAACTTGAGTCCACATACAGGGACAGTAATTGAATTTTCCAGCTTAATTTGCATGACGGGCGGCGGGGCTGGGGGACAGGGAGGACAGCCACACTCTCTCCTGGAGCTTCGTTCTCCTGGAGGGGAACTGATACTTGACCACAAAGGACATCCACACCGCACCATTTTGGAGGGCAGAATAATCTTTCTGAAGATCAGGGCTCCCCAAAGTCTGTATTTCTTGTAATTTTTCTTTTGCTACTAAAAGTGATATTTTTCTTGTACTTGAAAATACTTCAGCACTTAGATGATCCTTTCTCTTTCTTAGGGAAGTGAAGAATCATTTAAATTATGAACATAGAGTATTTAATAGTGAAGAATTTCTTAAAACAAGAGCTCCAGGGGATCAGTGGTTTTATAAACAGGTAAGAGACGTGGGATTTGAGTGTGTCCGTGTGTGTTCAATCTGTCACACTTTTCTGTGTTTAAACATTTTTCAAGATAAGTTTTCTCAACATCTACTGTTTTATTAAGCGTAGTAGCTTTTTCAGAAAGTTTGTTTTAGCATGGTTCCGTTTGATCATTTGGCCTTTTCTTAGTTTTCAAATCAGTTTTATAGAGTATAATTTATTTATAATAAAATACACCCATTTTAAGTGTATGGTTTGATGCATTCCGACAAATCTGCAAAGCTGTGTAGCCAGTTCCTCAGTCTGACATAGAACACGCCCATCGTCCCGGTCAACTCCCCTGGCCCTGGGCAGCCTCTGACCTGCGCGTGTCCCCGTCACCAGGGTTGCCAGTTCAGAGGCTCGTGCAGTGCAGTCCCACGGGCCGCGCTCCGTGTCCTGCCTGGGGCGGGTCCGTGCTGCTGCGGGTCTCGGCAGCCTGCTCCTTTAGTTGCTGGGAATATTCCGCTGTGGGCACGCAGCACGCTTTGTTTTTCTGTCTCCCCGTTAATGAGCATTTGGGTTGTTTCAGCGTTTGTCACAGAAAGTAACATTTGGGGCTTCTCGGGCAGGCGATTGCAGCCGCAGATCCCCCTGACCTGTTAGGGGTTTGTTTCTACAGTTCGGGGCAGGTGCCCACTGGGTGGCTCATGAAGGACCCAGCAATGAGCCAGGACTCTGAGTTGTGGCTGTTTGGAGCACATACTGCTCTGCCCTTGTGTGCTCAGGGAATCGTTTGCTTACAGCTTCCCAGTGGTTCTTTGCATCGTTTTGTGTGGTTTTGCCCTGCGTGTGACACCTCTGTGTTCAGCAAGGGCTTGAGGAGACCCCGGGAATGCTCTCTGCCTCAGCCTCCATGAGCCCCCATCTGTCCCCTCAGCTCAAAGTCCGGGCAGCGTGAGCCTGAGCCGCTATTCCACCCAAGGAGCCAGTCCTGGGCTGCCTTTGTCCAGCGTCTGAAGACAGTTGCTTTGTCCAAGTTATCATGTTTCCTCATAGTTTACATCAGGAGGGTTTATCTGAACCTTACGTACTGCTCATGGCCTCTTTCATTATTATAATATGTGGCTTTCTCCATGGCCTGGCTGTGTTGGACTCAGTGTTTCCACGTGTGACAGTTATTTCTTCTGCTTGTGCACATGAGGAGCAGAAAACACCTGCAATCGTTCATTCAGTGAATATTCACTGAGCAGGAACCGTGCGTGGTACCCAGTTCTGTGCACGCCAGGCTGGGTCGTAAGGACACAGCTGTCGGGGACGCCGTGGCTCGGCCTCCTGGACACCGTGGCTCAGCCTCCTGGAGTTCCCATTTTGGGTTCATCCCGTTCATTTGAAGGTCGTGTGAGAGCCAGTGGAGCCACTAGAGGCTTTGGAGCAGAGGCGTGACCCAGATGCTCAGACCCAGCTGTTAGGAGTGTCATCCGACTGTGTCTTAGGATGCTCTGGGGTGAAAGTGAACTTGAGAGAGCAGCTGGGGCTGTGGGGACAATCCCAGACAGGGATGGTGGCCTGGGCCCGGCTGGCACCTGCAGAGGTGGCGTGGGTTTTGTACGTGATAAATGTAAGGACCGCTGCGTAACCCCCTCTTCCCACGTCACGCACCACAGGAACTGGTACGGCCCCGGGAACAGTGCCCCAGAACCCCGAGACCCAGTCCACTAAAGGAGCATGGGAAGGTCCAAGAAATGGAACCTGGGGGTCAGAGAGAGGCCCAGAACTCAGAGCGCACGGCCCGCTTCATAACCGCCGTGACTGGGCCTCCGCTGAGCTCCTCGAGCCTCCCTCTCCTCCTCGGGTCTGCTCGGCAACTTTCCTTGGCATCCTTATCTGGCCTTCCCTGGTGATCTGGCCAGGTCTGCAGCCCACCCAGCTGCGGGCAGGGGGCCACTGGCCCCTATCCCCGAGTTCTCTAGCTGGCCAAGGAACCTCACGCCTCCCCCTCCTGCACAGCCTGTTCCCTTCCTTTGTCTTTCTGCGGGCGGTTTGCATGTTAGGTTTTTCTTGCTTGTCCCTCTCTGACCCCCGTGTGGATCTGGGCACTGTGACCCCCGTTCTTTGGCTGTCGTGGGTGGCCTGCCGGCCTCCAGCCGCCCCCTCTCTAGGCCACGTGCCCGCGTGCCCACGGTCAGCGGAGAGCCAGCGTCAAGGTGGAGACAGACGTGGCTGCGGGGAGATTCTCGTTTAAGATGAGAGCCCCGTAGCCGTTGGGTAACGTGAGAACGTGGGCGTCTTCTGGCAGCAGAAGGGCCGCAGACAGAGTGCCTGCTGGGGTGCGGAGCGTGGAGGGGACCTGCGGCGCCCCGACCTGAGGATCCGAGAGGAGGCGCACGCGCCACGGAGCCGGCGGTCGCAGGGGGCGAGGTGGTTTGGGCTCTTGAAATTTCTGTGAATTGTCAGGTGCGGAGAGTGGCCGTGTGTGTCAGGATGGCAGGCGAGGAGCTGCAGGATGGTCTTGTAGGTTAGGACAAACTGAGGAGCTACTGTTTTCAGGAACTTCTGTGCAGAGGAGCTAGTTGGTGGCTAGCTCCCCATCGGCGGGGCAAAGCGCTCCCGGAGGCTTTGGCAGCAGACGCAGGACTCGAGCGCATGGCGGTGACTCGCCCCCGTCTCTTCCAGGTTCTAGACACCTACATGTTTCACTCTTTCCTCAAAGCCCGGCTCAACAGGATGATGGACGCCTTTACCCGGATGGACCTCAACACCCAGTCTGAGGAGGACAGGTGCGTCCCCTCGTGTTTTGGACACACAGTTCCTTGGGGAGCAAGATGTTCAAGTAACACGGGATTATTTGGGTGGATGAATGACAAATTCACCGGGAAAAGTCTGGCGTTTGGAAATTCATAATGAGCTGGGTGGCGACAACCAAGCTGTCCCCTGTGTGTTTCTGGGTCTTGGGGTTACTCTGCCGTTCCCGACGGTAGCCGGGCCCTGTGGTTCGTGCCCCGGGTCCTCGTTCCTGCTGCTCTCGCAACTCCCTGCTTCCTCTCCCCACGTTTCCCCAGCCTCAAAGGCTGCTTTCTCTCTTCCTTGATGCTTTTCCTGGCCCGCCTCACACAGGTGTACCCTGCAGACGGTGCTCTTGTTCGCTTCCCACACTGTGGTCTTTCTGGGGGTGCAGTCTGGGTCCCCTTAGACTGCACATGGCCAGATTTAGGCAACACGCTCTTACTGCTCTGTTTTCCACTTCCGTGCAAGAATAGCAGATACCGGTTGTTACGGTGGAAAAATACTGAGTTTAGGCTTAGCCTTCAATCATTATTGTATTTACAAAGTTAAAGTGTTGCTTTTTTCGACCCCAGAATAAATGGGACGCTTATAAGTCCACGAAGGCCGACAATTGAGAAAATGGCCTCGAGGAAGCCTTCGCCCCTGCACGTCGCGCGCAGGCGCATGGTGGTCAGCATGCCCAACCTGCAGGACATAGCCACGCCCGAGCTGGTGCCCAAGAACTCGTCGCTGCGGCTGGTGGACACTGCGGGCTGTAGGGGCAGCAGCACAGGTGGGGAGACGCCCTTTGGTGGGGCTGCCTCGGGGTCACTCGATTCCAGCAGCACGAGTCGTTGAAAGAAACCACACTTGTTTCAGAAGAAGGGAATGTTTTCCAAACTGTGTTGATTATGGAAAATTATTTCTTGCCTGTATTTTCTGTCACCCAGTGTCACCGCTAAGGATAACGGCTCTGGGCAGTTTTGGTATCTTTCATATATATGCATTGTGCCTGTGTGTGTGTGTGCATGCGTATCATGTGTACATGTAAGATACATATTCACGTGTATAAATGTGTAATGGGATGCAGCAACGATTAGGCCCCTGCTGAGTGCCAGGCACTCTCTAGATGCTGTAAAGGAGCTCGGAGCCCCTGCCCTCCTGGAGCTGACATTCCAGGGGCGGGAGCGAGGTGAGCAGGGTTGGGGATCGTGATGGGGCTGTGACTGTGGAAGTGACTTTTCAGCAGAGAGGTGAATGCGTGGGGAGCCTGAGCTAAGCCGCGTAGTCTAGGGGAGGCACATTCTGTCCACAGTGGTTGGGAGTAATTGTCGGAGTCCTGGGGCCCCTGGTGGCCACTGTCTCGGGCTGTGACAGCAGGGGTGAGTGGGGCCTCCCGAGCGAAGCTGCATGAGCACCACGTCTTGGTGACTCCCACGGGGCATTGCCTGGCAGGGGCAGCGTGTGCAAATGAAATGCTGCATTTCCCTTTAACAGCTAAGCGTCATAGCTCAGAGCCAGCATCCTGGGGGCCGACACTGCATCTGAGTCTTCTGTGTAACCACTTCCCGGCTATCTGACCCCGGGCAGGTTACCTCCCCTCTGGTCCTGCAGTTCCTCTTCTGTACAGCCCCTTGGTCTGCAGGTGCTCTGTGCTCACTCACCCGGGGAACAAATGTGCTTTGCTTTCTCTGCCCTCTGATCCTTCACACTGCAGCTCCTGACGCTCCTTGGGTCTCCCAGCCCACTGGAGCGTTTGGGAGGAGAGGAAACTAGCACCCTGTTGGCACTTAGCACCTGGGAGGCCCCTTGGTATTTGAGGAAAGAATTGGTGTGAGTTTGGCTCCAGCACTCAGTAGCTGTGTACTCAGAACAAGTGACCCAAGTGACCTAGGTTGTGGAAGCCTCAGTTTCCATATCTGCAAAATGGGAATAATAACACTCACGTCCCAGAGTTATCTTTAAGGTAAATGAAACAATGATTTTAAAGGGCTCGATCCTGCCTAGCGAGTACATCTTGGTTTGTGTTGTTAGCTTAATCCTCAAATGAAGCCTCAGTACCACTTTTCAATTTAGTATTAATAGTTCCAGCAAATAAAATTGTTCAACGAATGCCAGCTTCTGTTATTCTCGGGGTGCTGTGGAAGCAAAACGAGTGGCCTCTCCATCTTCCTGGGGGTGCGTGGAGCTTTCTGGAAGAGGCGCACCGATTCTTGCTTTTTTTCACATCCAGGGCCCGGAAACGTTGTCCTCGACCGTGATGTGCCAGGTGCACGTGTTCATTTCTAAGGCCTGTGCTGACTGTATGCTTCTCTTCCCTTCGGTTTTTAGTTCTGAATGTGGCCCCTAAATCCACGTACACATTCAAGATTCCAGAAATCCACTTTCCCCTGGTGAGCCAGTGTGTCCAGGCGTATTACTCGGACTTTGTCACCCTGCTGAGTAAGGCCATAAACTTTCTGGCCCCAGAGAACTCTCTGCTCCTGGCCCGGTATTTCTACCTGCGAGGACTTGTGCATCTGATGCAAGGACAGCTGCTGAACGCCCTCTTGGACTTCCAGAATCTGTACAAAACAGACATACAGATTTTTCCTGCTGATCTGGTTCGGAGGACGGTGGCGTCCCTGTCTGCGCCCGAGCGTGCCCAGGCTGAGCGGACGCCCGAGCTGAAGAGGCTCCTTAGCCAGGTGCTGGACCAGCCGGGCGAGGCCCCGAAGGCCGACGACCACGTGAAGAACTTCGAGCTGCCCAGGAAGCACATGCAGCTGGAGGACTTCGTGAAGCGGATCCAGGAATCGGGGATCGTGAAGGACGCCAACATCATCCACCGGCTGTTTGAGGCGCTGACTGTAGGTAAGAAGGTGGAGGACGCTGTCGTGTGATTTACACACCCGAGACAGGTAACAGTGGCGGCCAGGTGGGGTGACGGTCACAGGTGAGACCTCCACGGTGCGATGGCACTTACCAGGCATGGTGGGGCAGGCGCTGCCTTGGGGCAGTGTCCCTCTCCCACGTCTTAAAGACGAGCTGTGCTCGTTGTGGTGGGAGGACGTGGGGACGTAGGACGGGACCTGAGGGCTTTCCATGTCCCCAGAGGGTTGATCGTCATGTGGATGGAATCGTGGCCTCAGTGGAAATGCTTCGGGCAGGCACAGAAGCACAGACACAGTGTGACAAACGCCAGGTCCTCCACCTGGATCTGATGGCGGCCACGCCTCCCGTATTTGGGCAGTGGTCTTGGGTTTGGGTCGGAGCCCTGTTACGCTTCTGCTCCCCAAAGGGAGCCGCTATCCCCGCCCTGACTTCCTCTGCTGACCGTTGGCTACAAAGGGATGTGTCCAGACACGGCACGTAGGTCCCTGTGTTCATGCCACCCATGAATACTGTCACATCGTGGGCGTCAGTTTGCACAGTACTGTTTGATTCGATATTATGTTTTCAAAACGTATCTGTTGCTGTGCGTAGATCTAGTTTATTCGCTGCCACTGCTGTTGCCGTAGTGTGGGAGGAGAGCGCATTCGATCACCCGTTCCACTGTCAAGGGGTGTCCCTTTATTTTACCTATTCAAACAGTGACGCAGGGAGTCCCTGGGCCTGCCTGCTTGAGTGTCTGGGGACCAGTTCTTCCCAGACCTGTGCCCCGAGGCTGGGTTGGGGAGCCAGTGCTGTCATTTGGGCTGCGTTTTGCCTTGCTCCCCTCCAGGGGCCGCCCTGCTGACAGGTGGCCTCCCCGGCAGCATCAGACTTTGCACTTCTGGCAGGTGTGAAATGACACCGCACTGGGTTTCCAGTGAGCGTGTGCGCATGCGCTCACGAGCCTTCTGCTCGCTTTTCTGTGAGACCCCCTTGCGTGGTCTTTGCACATTTACGTTGCGATAGTTCTCTTTTCCTTATTGAGTGATTCGTAGGGGGTTCTTTTTTTTTTTTTTCTTTTTTTAAGATAGGGTCTCACTCTGTTGCCCAGGCTGGAGTGCAGTGGCATCATAGCTGGCTGTAACCGCAAACTCCCAAGCTTAAGCAACCCTCCCGGCTCAGCCACCCAAGTAGCTGGGACCACAGGTATAAGCCACGAGGCCTGGCTAATTTTTAAATTTTATTTTATTTGTTGTAGAGACAGGGTCTTACTGAGTTGTCCAGGCTGGCCTCAAACTCCTGGCCTCAAGCAATCCTCCTGCCTCAGCCTCCCAAAACGCTGGGATTACAAGTGTGAGCCACCACACCGGCCTGGGGGGGTTCTTTATGTGCTCTGGAAAAGCCGTCTTTGCTGACAACAGGCATGGCAGATGTCTCCTCCTCGTTACGAAATAAGTTCTGCAGAGTGTGGATTTGGTCGCTGTTCTCGTCTGTGTCCTCTGGAGGACAGACACGCGGGGTGTGTGCGTCTGCGTGTGCACTGTGTCTCCCCCTGCCCGGCGAGATCCGACTGTGTGCTCGCTGGTCCCTGTCTGACGGAGGTGAGGTCGGGCAGACACTCGGGGCCCACTGCGTGTGCTGCGCTCGGGCGTCCTGCGGTGAAATGCCACCGTGCCGCCAGCAGGGCACGGTGGGACACGTTTCACTCGAGCATCTGTGGCGTGACCGGTGCTGCGCAGGAGTCCAGGTGGGGCCAGGCAGTGGCTGGACCGCACTGGGCGTGACTGTTCTCAGGTGAGCAGAGTCCAGAAGGAGCACAGTGGCTCCTTGGTGGTGTCCGGGACCAGGCTCCTTCTGCCCCTACTTGCTGCCAGCACGGCCTGTCGTCTCAGTCGGACACGGCTGGAGGGCCTGGCACCACTGCCCTCCCTGCAGGAAGAAGGGGTCTGTCCCTCTTTCGAGGCCCCCCCTGCCCCCCACAGTGACTTGTGCCCTCCTCTCACTGGGCAGGATCGAGTCACATGGCTGCAGCTGCAAGGGAGCCCGGACGGTGGGCGCGTGGGCCGGCCCGGCAGTCCCAGACAGAAAGGACGTCAGGGAGGGGCTCGCAGACTTGCCGATGACGAGTATGCCATCAACAGCCCTGTGTCACCTTGGCCTCCTCTGTGTGGCAGAGTAGGTCAGGAACTGGGCTTGATTCTGGGAAAGCTGGGCCTGAAGTTACCAGTGTGAAGCAGCCTCAAGTATAATACGTGTTTTGGCCAAATGGCTGTATATTTTTTTTAAAAATTAGTATTTGGTCAAAGCTAAAGTATACATATGAGATTTTATTCAAAAAGCTACTGCAGTGTCATCATTACACATTTTAATGGTCAAATATGTGAAGTCCACCGTTAACCGTGCAGGACCGATATGTCCCCCACTGCAGCTGCCCGCGAGGTGCCTCTGCACAGGGACGCGGGTGTGTGCGTCCTTCCGTATGGCTGTGCCGCACCTCCCATGTGACACCACCTGCACGCTACCGTGACGAGCGGGAGGGGTCGTGTTGGAGGTGTGTGGATGACAGGCAAACAGTCTGGCACTTTTGTGAAAATTGCAGGCAAATGAGGCACGAGCACGTTGGCGTGGGCATGTGCCACAACTGTGTGCCTGACAGTTGCCGTGGACTGCATGGCGGCCGCGGTGTGAACCCAGCAGCTGTGGTGTGCATGGCGGTGGGTGTGCACTGTGGCTGCGGGCAGCGCTGTCCAGTTCCGCTGCAGCCCTGGCGGTGTGAGGCCGCGGGAGTGCTGCCTCGTGCCTGCTGGGGGGCCTTGGTCTGGCTGCTCTCCCTGCAGCTGGGCTTTCTGGGTCCTGACTGTCCAGAGCCCACCAGGCCCCTCACACTGGAGGCCGGCACTGGAAGCTGTTCCACGTTCTGGTGACACAGGCTTTGTTCCACGTGGCCCCAGTGACTGCTGTGGATTTGTCCTGAGTGCACAGGGGACGGGACCCTTGGCTCCGGGCTCCCCGTCAGATCTCTTTGACCGCGGCTCTCATAAGTAATGGTGTTGCGCTTCACTCTCACTGCCCTGCTTGCGTCTTCCTGTTTCTTGGCTTTTCCTTCCTTGGCTACTAACCTAAACATCGTCTTAATGATGTTGGTTAATATAACAAGGGCTTCTGATTTAAATCCAGTGACTCAGAACCCTTGGGAAGTGTAGACAGAGATGCTCCCAACAAAGGCAGATGCATTGAATAGTATTTCTAAAATGGAAGAGGGACGCTGGCATGGGACGCCCTGCATACCCTGTGACCCCGATGACCTTGTTGCCCAGCACAGGGGGCTGCAGAGACCTGGCCTGCCAGGCTCTGTCCCTTGAAGTGCACAGATGTCCTCGTTCTTTGTCCTCTTTGGTGGCTTCTTTTTAAATATCATACAATGTGTTGACAGAATAAACCCAAACTCTGTAAAATAATTTAAAGAGGTTTATTCTGAGCCGGGTATGTGTGACCACTGCTTGGGGAACAGAGTCCCAAGAGGTCTTGAGAAGGTGTGCCTGAGGTCACAGTTTGGTTTTACACATTGGTGGAGACAGGAATTGCAGGTAAAACCATAAATCAGTACATGGAAGGTTTACATTGGTTCAGACTGAAAAAGTGGGACATCTCAAGGCAGGGCTTACAGGTCATGGGTGGGTTTGGGGATTCCGTGGTTGGCAACTGGCTGGAAGAGTGAGGCTTTGTCTAAAGAACGGGGGTCAGTGGAGGGGGATGCCCGAGTTAAAAGAAGGGGGTCTGCCGTGTCCTGTGACGCTAGACCAGTCAGGTTGGAAAGTGAGCCATGTTATACCGGGTTAATGAAAACCCATTTGATGAGATTTTATCATTTCTAGGCATGACTCATCAGGCCTCTTAGAAAGGAATTTGGGCAAGAGAGAAAAAAGGTCAGAGTTCAGTGCGTAGACACCCTTACTGTTGTATATTTCTTTTGTGTTTAGAGCCAGTGTGACTTTAAAACTTAAAAGAAAAAAAGTATGCAGTATACAACCATTGTAAACCAGTTGGAAAATACAGATAAGCAAAAAGAAAAAGAATTAAGTTGAAATCCCATCACACGGTGGAGGTTTTCCCGCAAGCACCCTGGCGCCTGCACGCCGTGTGGTGAAGCCCGACCTGGTCATCGCGGTTCCCATGGCGCCACAGTCCCCCAGGTAGGAGGAAGATGCAGACGTCAGCCCGTGACAGTGCCACCCCCTTCACGGGGCGGGCCTCTTACAAGTTGCTGCTGTGACCACTGAGTTGTCCAGGCTCAGTTGTGACCACAAGAGCAAATTCTCTCGATAACTGTCACCGTTGACACCTTGCTCTGGAGTCAGAGCAGGGACAGGGCCGAGGTGGGACTTTAGCCACATCTTTTGCTGTTTCAGATCCGGGCTTTTAGCCAGGTTGGGGACGGGGAGGACACAGGTTCTGTCCTCTCAAGCGGTGACGGCAGACCCATAACACGTGGCAGCACAGCTCTGAGTGGACCGTGCCTGGCCTCAGTGCTTGGCTCTCCCAGCAAGGGGCTTTCCTCTCCATGCCTCAGTTTCCTGATTTGTACCTCATAAGATGGTTGTGAGGATTATGTGGTTTTCTGTATACACTGTGGTACGTAGCCAGTGTTCCTGGATGCGGTGGTGCCATAAGGGAAGTGTGTGCATAGTTCGGTAGCGTCCTGTCCAGGATGACTCTGCCTCATCAGGGAAGGCTGCACGTGGGTGTGTTCACCTGGGTATTGAGGGATGGGTAGGAGTTTTCAGGTCTGAGCAGCCAGGAGAAGCATTGTGTGTGCAGAGACATTTAACAACACAGCTTCTTTTGGAAACATACTTGGTATGGCTGGAATGTAGGGTGTGAAGGGGAAAAGGGGCCTGATCCTGGAGGAATTTGGGGCTTGGTGTAGACAAGGAGCCCTGAAGTGTCTGAACAAGGGAATGGGAACTCCCTCTTGCATTTAGAAAAGTCATTCTGAGTGCTGAGTAGAGCGAGGCTGCGAGCAGGGGCGGCTGTGAAGGCAGGAGCCATGGAGGGGCATGTTCCTGGGCAGGATTGAGGGGGCTGCCTCCTGTGGGGGCAGAGAGAGGAACAGACAGGCTCAGGACATGGAGGCGATCATAGCCAAGACAGGGATGCTGTCGGGAAAGGGGGATTGGGACTGGCAGGACTTACTAGCAGTTGCATGGGATTTGAGGGGTCTTCCCTTCTCCAGTTTACAGAAAAGGATTTGTGTCTTGCCTGAGGTTGCGCCGTGCGCAGCAGTGACGCCGGGCTTCAGACCAGGGTCGCGCTGTAAGCAGCGGTGACGCCGGGCTTCAGACGTGGGGCTCTCTGCGACTGCAGAGCCCATGACTGTTGGACATTTGGGAAGGTTATTGCATCAACTAAGATGATCTGATTGCAAACAATAAAAGTGAGTTATTTGCTCACAATAAAAGTGAGTTATTTGCTCACAACCAAAGAGTGCTGAGGGAGGGCAGGTTCCAGGTAAGGCTGATCTGGTGGCATGGGAGTGTCCCCAAGGATCTGGTCTCTGCAGCGTTATCTTTGTTGTAGGACTAACTCCCCTGCTGGCCCTAGGATGGTGGCTACCAGTTCCTGGGATGAGGAAGGTCTTTGCCACCATAAGAAAAGAGAGTGTCCTTGCCCAGAGCATGAGGGGCCTGGTGGGCTCTGCGAGACTCAGGACTCCAGGAAGCCAGCTGAGGGAGGAGCACCCAAATGCTGTGACTACCTGGCCTGGGTCACACAGCCATCCCTGAATCAGGGGCTTACTGTAGACCGCATGCCCACCCTTACACCTGGGGTTGCCGGGGAAGGTACCTGGAAAAGGTCTTCTGAGGCTTTTTTATCCAGGTAGCCCTGCGTGCTGCGCCACCTGCTGATGTGCTGGGGTAATGCACTGTTTCTTAAGGTGACACAGAAGTTCCTGCCGTTCCCTCCCTATACGGCTGTAAGACGACCTTCTTTTCTTCTTACAAAACTAAGGGCAGCAGAAACAAATCGACCCAGAAACATTCAAAGATTTCTACAACTGCTGGAAGGAGACGGAAGCAGAAGCCCAGGAGGTCAGTGTGCCTTGGCCGGTGATGGAACATCTGGATAAAAACGAGTGTGTTTATAAGCTGTCGAGCTCCGTCAAGACAAGTCTAGGTGTTGGCAAGATCGCCATGACCCAGAAGCGCCTGTTCCTCCTGACTGAAGGGAGACCAGGCTACGTGGAGATTTCTACCTTCAGAAATATAGAGGTAAGGGGAGCACAGCCAGGCATCCTGGTTGTCAGGTGGGACAGGCTACCAAGTACTCGCTGCAGCCCTTGTGCGAGCCGCCTGCCTCTTGTTCCTCGGCTTGCTCATCTGTAAGATGGGAATCATCACAGTACCTTCCTAGTGGCATCGTTGTGAGGACTGAACAGATTCAGCACGTAACGTGCTCAGAGCAGTAACTGTCCGTCTCTTGCTGATTTTCTAATACAACCGACTTGCATTTAGGAGGCTAGAAGTAAGCAGCCATGCAGGCAGAAGTCATAATTGGAGAAAAATAGGAGAATCACGGAAATTAATTCATCCATAAGATGCTCACTGAGAAACTGCCATGTGTCAGCCTCTGTGAGCTACTATATCTCACATTTTCTAATCACGCTCCTACCTGGCACATGTCGTTTATTTTATAACAATTTAAAAGTTTCCTAACGGTTTTAACATGAGATTTTAGAGATAGTCATTTACCCTGTCGAGGAAATCTGATTTGTGATCCTGATTCATCTCATGCCTTATAGTTATTTCCCCAAATTTAAGAGGACTCTGAGAGGCACGGTGGGTGTGTCAGTGTCTGTGTAGTCGGCTGCGGATAGACAGGAATAGGAGAGGCAGGGAAGCCAGGATTGCAGCCCACGGTAAGTGCCAGGCCCGAGGACCCATCTCTTGCTATTTTCCTGCAGTTTGCTTTCCCACACCTGCTTTGCCAGCCTTTCTCCTAGAATTCCAAAGAAGAGAAGAATTTAAGGATGTGAACAAATGCACCACCTTTAAACACTGGCCTAGTCCCTGTGCATGAATCCGGGTAGACATACCACTGCCAGGTCCTACGGGCCGTCTTCTCTCCCCCTGGGCGCTGCTCGGAGCACGGCTGACAGGGGGGCGGTGGTTTAGACCAGCTGCTCCTTCGTTTCAGAGCTTCCTTTGCTTTCTTCCTGTCATTAATCCAGATGTTCTTTGCATGTGATTTCACTTAATTCTCTTTTCTCTTTCTGCCTCTGTAGGAGGTCAAATGTACCACAGTCGCGTTTCTACTTCGGAGAATACCCACTTTGAAAATTAAAATGGTGTCCAAGAAAGAAGTCTTTGAAGCTAACCTTAAAGCAGAGTGCGACCTTTGGCACCTGATGGTGAAGGAGATGTGGGCCGGGAAGAAGCTGGCCGATGACTACAAGGTGCGAGACGCGGGTCTCCTCTGCCCTTCCCTGCAGCTAGCTCAAGGCGCGTCTCGCCAGTAGGGGCCGCACGGCAGCGCTCAGCTGTGAGCTCAGCGGCTCCGGTCTTGGTCCTCTAAGTGAATAAGTGGATTAGATGAGGTCCCGACAGGAGCACTGGAGATACCTCGGTCAGCGTGACCCAGCAGAAGGCCTCGAGGCCCCTGGGAAGGCCGTGGCTCGAGGCTGCAGGGGCCGGCAGAGCCCTGCGGGTCGGCTGTGGACTGCTGCCCTGCGCCTTCTCGTTTCCTGTCCACGTCCCCTCCGTGACGGGGACGTCCCAGCGAGCGAGGGCCGGGAGCTGGACTGTGCTGACGTTGTCCACTCTGGCAGGTCAGAGGTGGGCGCTGAGGACACAGCCTGCTCTGAGCTGCTGTCCGCGCCCCACCTGCACAGGAGGAGGAGTTCGGCGGGGGCAGGGCTGGATCCCTTCGACAGGTTGACACCCTAGGGATTTCTGTGCCTTAACAATTTACAGTAAACCGATGGCTTTGGCTCTACCAGACGACTAAGGTATAGTGAGGAAGGGTCCCCCAGCAGAAGTAAGGACGGAGAGCACGGGGGCAGGGAAGGCACTTGTGCTGCCTAATGGCAGGACACGAAGGGAAAACGCATGGAGACGGGCGAAGACTGTGAATGGGAACCCACACAGGTCATGAGGGTAGAGAGAGACGTGTAGCCCCGCTAGCCACCAGAGGAAAGCAGGGGACCATGGCACGCGCCAGGGTGGCGGTGCTGAGCAGTGCAGCCCGGCCAGCGTCACGCTGCCCTTCCTGGCGGGAAGTCACCAGTCTGGGGGGAGGGGTGCGGGGTCCTTCCCGAGATGCCAGGGCTCTGTGGGTTTTGGAGGAGCCATTTGATTTTATGGCTGGTTCACTTGGCGTGAACCTGCACAGTCAAATGAAAGCCTGTGGGTTGGTGGACCAGGTTTTGAACGTAAAGTTTTACTGGGACATAGTCGTGCCTGTTTGTTTATAAAACGTCCGGGGCTGCTTCCGTGTTGCAATGACAGGCACAGCCGAGTAGTCACACGGAGATTTTTATGGTCCACAAAGCCTAAAAATGTTCTTACTACGTGGCCTTTACAGAAAACATTTGCCGACCCCTGGTATAAACAATATCTGTCTTAAATAAGAGAAAACAATATGACATAAAACCCAAATTCGTCATTCATTTAAACTCTTCACATTGCTTTGAAAAAAACGCGCCTTTAGAAGTATCATTTTACATAATGTGACAAGGTCGCGTCGTTCGCTGGCTTCACTGGCTGCCATTGTGTTGAAAAGCACGTTTCTGTCCTAGGACCCTCAGTACGTCCAGCAGGCGCTGACCAACGTCTTGCTGATGGACGCTGTCGTTGGCACGCTGCATTTTCAAGGCGCCATCTACGCCGCCTCCAAGTTATCCTACTTCAACAAGATGAAGAACGAACGTAAGATGAGTGTGTGTTTGATGGAGGAGTGTTGCCCTGAATATGTCTTAAGTGATTTTATCCAGTTGACATTTGTTTTATTAAACTGATCCCAAGTTTCTTAATTTTTTTCTTTTATACTTTTTAATTTATTTCTGAATACCACATATTATTCTATATCTTTCCTTTTTTTACTTAACAGTGTTCCTTGCAGCTCTTTGCTTGTCAGGGCACACTGAGGCACCTTGTAGTTTTCATGTCTGGGTAGCATCCTGTTGTCCAGGGTAAGGTGTTTGCCGCGATTCTCAGTTGCAGACAGCAGACTTTGCTCTGGCTGGCGTAAGTGGAATGGAAATCTGTGGGAGGCTGTTGAGTGGTTCAGGGACTCTCTGGACTGGTTGGAGAGCTGGTCTCGGGGCTGGCAGTGGGAACCCCCCCCCCGAGAAGCCGGGACCCGGTGTGCACGGCTGGCCTGTTGGCTGGTGAACCCCCCACCACGTGAGTGAGGACAGGCCCCGGATGTCGAGATCTTTTTTTCCTGGTCAGTCAGTTCCCCAGACAGGAGTTCTGTGGTCTCCTTGCTGGGGGTTTACATGTGACTGTCTCATTCTAGGACTGCATGGAGGTTGGTGTTGGCTCAGATTATTTTGTTTGGAAGATGATTTTCAAGTCTAGGATTTGTGCAGCGTTCCTAGAAAGCCTTCTGACTCCTCTCTAAACAGTTTACACAGTCACAGTGGTGACACTCGGCAAGTGGTGACACTCACTGTCAGTCCTCGCCTGCCAGTCGTGTGACGGGAAAGGGGGAGCCATCCGAGCTCGGGGTCAGGGTCAGAGCGTGCTGTAGTTCCTGATCCTCGTTAACAAATTATGAGACATTTTCCTGTGTTTGAAGCTTTCTGAGGTGAAGTTGCGTGACACATGGTCCTGAGCTTAATTTAATAGCTTTGGGTCTAGAAACGCACAAAATTAAATAATAACGGAAGACTTAATGACTGAGGTGTTGGCAGAGAAGCCAGTTAGCGCTCACCATGTCTTGGTGCAGCTGCCAGACCCACGTGGGGTCCTGCTCGCCCACCTGCTCGTGGTGTGACCTTCGGCGTCACTGAATGTCGATGCGTTTCCGTTTTCTTACCTCCCTTAAAATGGGGGTGATGGGCTCAGTCTCGTCGGGTTGGTGTGAGTGTAGTGAGATGCAGGGAGGGAAGTGGCGCCTAAGGGACAGCCCCGGACACCCCAGACTGGGCGACTGAGCGGTGGGGAGCCCCCTGCAGGAGCCCGCGGGTGGGCAGAGGGGCCACGTCTCAGCAGTCTGGTCTCAGGACAGTCTGGGCCAGGGCCGTTTTCAGTTTTATCTGGAATCGTTGTTGGAGAGAGGACCGTGGAAGAGTGTCCTCCGGTGTGGTGGCTTTTAACTGGGGGTGACTTTGCACCCCGCCCCTGGAGGAGGCATGTGGCAACGGCTGGAGATATTTGTGGCTGTGTGGGGGCTGCTCCTGGCACTCGTGAGCAGAGGCCGGGGACATTACTCACGTCCCACGTGCGCAGGGTGCAGGCCATGCCCACAGCATAGTTACCCAGCCCCGAATGTTCGTGGTTCTGCAGCGGAGAGACCGTGCTCGGGGTTAGATCTCTGGGTCTCAGTCTGGGAATACGTCACGAGCCACGTTTCAAATCTCCACGCTGCCAGCCTTCGTTATGTTAGGGGCGAGTGCGGCCGGACATCAGACTAGGTGGCAGGCGTTTGAGGGGTGTCCCCCAGCGGGGGAGCAAGCAATGGGGCCTGCAGCGCCGACCTCAGTGAGAGCTTCCTCACAAGCGACGACGTCTCCCCCAGACCCGTGTTGCAGAGAGAGCAGCTTTGCACGGCTGCTGGGCGGCATGGGCGCCCTCGTGTCGGGGAGGGGCGCCCTCACAGTGCGTGTCTTTCAGTGCCCATGGCGGTGCCAAAGACGACCTCGGAAACACTGAAGCACAAAATCGACCCTTCAGCCGGAGAGACGGCCCCGCGGGCCATCGACATCCTGTTGTACACGCCAGGTACAGACGCTGCTTGGCGTTTATTGCTGCTATTTCTAAAAATAATCTGATAAATTTAGATTTGGGTTCAAGGTGAGCCCTGAAGCGGAATACTGGAGACAGCATCATGGCATAAATTCGGGCAAAACATTTATCTGCCTGTTTTTATTTTTTTGAGATAGGGTCTCACTCTGTCACCTAGGCTGGAGTGCAGTGGCGTGATCACAGCTCACTGCAGCCTCCAACTCCTGGGCTGGAGCCATCCTCCTGCCTCGGCCTCCCCAATTGCTTGGGATAGCCAGGGTGCCCGGCCTTCTTTTGCTTTTTGAGGTGAAGTCCCGAGCGATGCGTGTGAGGCTGTCACAGCTGCTCCTTGGATGTGGCCTGGTGACGAGCAGGGCCGTGGGGGCCGGCCCTGAGTGCAGGAATCCTCCTCCAGAGTCACCGTCCCTCCCGCCCTACAGCAGCCGGCAGTTCACAAAGCACTTTCGCTCACAGTGTTTCCCTGTGAAGTTACTTAATCTGGTCCTGTTGTCACTGTGATGAGGTGATGGCACCTCAGAGAGTTGTTGTCATAGGAACTGGACAGACACAGGGCCTTTGCTGCTCGGAACGTGTGACAACACGATTCTTTTCTGCCGGGCGCGGCTGTGTATCTGCTTTCCGTCCGCAGAGCGGCAGTTCCCTGCAAGTCCTGTTAGGACGGTGACAGGAGAAGAAAATCAGCGTGACCAAAGGTCTGCGTGTAAACAGAGCTCCCCGTTGTGCTATAGGTTACAACTGTCAAGGACACTTTTATTAAATTCTGACGTGAAGAATTGCAGCAGGGGGGGTTTCACACAGGGTTTGTGGTGTGGAAAACAACTCGGCTCTGGGCAGGAAAGAATTTAAAATCCGGTGTGCAGTGTATTTGTGTCTGCTGGGACGGACAGTGAGTGTCACAGATGCGCTCCGTGACCTTCACGTCCCACGGCCTGGCAGGGCTAGCGGGATTCCCGCAGAGCTCACCTTCCAGAGGGGCCAGCAGCCCGTGGTGAGGAGTCTCCCCCGAGAGAGACCGAGACATGGCTCGTCATCTCGTGCACCTTGAGATGCACCAAGGCATCTCATCTAAAAGTGAGGGTGTATAGATCCCAGTCAGTTCCCCTCAGACTAAAGCTGGCTAGACTCTGGGCTTCCCGTCATGGTGGTCCCTCTGAGAATGTCTGGAAGGGACTTTCTTGAAGAATGACAACACTGCTTTTTCCCTCGTGGCGGCTGAGAAGCCCGTGGCTGACGGAGCCTTCGCTAGCCCTTGGGCCCTCAGGAAGGGGTGTCCTGGCCACCCCCAGCCTTGGGTTGCAACTGCACAGGGTTCCCCGGGGAGGGAGGGAGGAGAACCACCCACAGGCATGAAGGTGGGTGGCCCTGACGGCGTGGGGTGTGCATCTGGGGGGGGCAGCATCTCCCGCAAGGGAGCTGACAGACCCATGGGGTTGGTGCCCCCAGAAAGACTGGCAAACCTACACTGCCCGATTTCTCACAGGAGGTGCTGTGGGCCGGGCCGGCAAGGCTGCCTTCACCGCTAGCGGTGGGGACACTGTCTCCACGTGGAAAGTCAGGACCGAGCCCCTCAGACTGCTCACAGCGGTCACTTCCTAGTGGGGCGAAATCTAACCTGAGCAGTAAAAGCAAACAAACATACACAATAAAGCAAGCACATTTCTAGAAGATAGTAGATGAGAATATATTCATAACACCAGGGTATAAAACTATTAATACTAACCATAAAGGAAAGGACTGATGAATTTGACATTAAAATCAATGATTTTAGAAAGATACTTTAAATAGAATGCAAGTGCAAGTTACAGACTTGGAAAGGATGTGTACAGCACAACAGAATCGGGTTTATATCAAGAAGAACAGAACAGCCAGCCACGCATAGTGGTGGTGCCTGTAGTGCCAGCTACTTGGTAGGAGGAGGCAGGAGGATCGCTTTGGCCCGGGAGTTCGAGGCTGTAGCACACTAGGCTTGCACCTGGGAGTAGCTGCTGCACTCCAGCCTGGGTGACATAGTGAGACCCCATCTCCAAAAAAAAAATAAAAACCAACAATAAAAAACAATAATAGAACAGCTACAAATTGGGGAGAATGAGACATCTCAGTTCAAAAATTGGCAAAAGACAGACACTGCACAGAAGAGGATATCCAAATGGCTAATTAAAGCCCTCATCCTCATGAGCAATTAGGGAAATATAAACAAAACCACAGTTTAAAAAAATCAGAATCTTCATACCCTTAGAGTGGCCAAAATTAAACAGACGGACACCAAGTAGTGCTGGTGCGGGTGTGGGGCCGCAGGGCTATACTTGGGCGAGGGTGTGGGTGGGTGGGGGCGCTGTGGTCCTGCGGTGGCCTCTCCAGCTACCCGCCCTGTGCTGGGCCCTCCCGCCCCTCCCGCCCCTCCTGCCCCCACCTGCCCCCTCCCGCCCCTCCCGCCCTGTGCTGGGCCCACCAAGGAACCTCCCTCACCCTCAGGTCCTGGCTCAGCAAACCTGCCGTCCTGTGCCCCCAGGGCGCCTGGCTCCCATTCTGTCTGGCCGCTCCTGAGACTAAGCTGCACGAGGTGGGGCAGCGTCAGGTGTGCTCTTCTTGGTGCCTCCAGCCCTAGCAGGGAGCCTGGTGCTTAGGAGGTGCCCAGTGAACACCCAGGTGATGGCAGGAATTCCTGCTGATGCGTCGAGAGCTTCTCACTCAGACGTTTTCGTGTTCATTCCTCTTTAGGGCACCTGGACCCAGCAGAGAAAGTTGAGGACGCTCACCCCAAACTCTGGTGCGCTCTGGACAACGGCAGAGTGACCGTGTACGACGCCGCCTCCTGGACGGTCCACCAGCACTGCTTCAAAGTGGGCACGTCCAAGCTGGTGAGTGACTGAGGCGCCACGCGGTTCCGACTGTTTTGAGTCAGCCGCGGCTGAGCGCGGAGTGAGCGGCGCCCCACAGCGGACAGACAGCAGCACGCACGCGATTCCGCGGCGCCTCGCGATCCCAGTAGGCAGGAGGCCTTTAATTTCCATTGAGGTTTTGAATTAAATGTAAGCTGGCCCCTGCCTTTTGCTCACACATCCTTATTTCAGGGGGAAGAGAATGCCTCTGACTGCCGTCTACAGGCGGATCTCGGTGACAAGGAGTGGGACTCTGCTCTCGCCTTGGGCGCAGGCCTCCCGCCTCCCTCTGAGAGCGTTTCTCACATCCCGCGCTGGGCGCTAGGCTGCCCGCATGCCTCGCCTGCCGCCCCCTCAGCCTGGGTGGCCACCCCCGCCCTGCGTCCGGGCAGCAGCGAGGCCGGGGTCCAGCAAAGCTCACAGTGTCCACTGGTCACCCAGTATCCCTTCACATAAAAGCAAGCTGGGACTTTCTCTGAGAGTTTTACAGGTATATAATACCTGTAATACAGGCATTTAATACATTTTTGGTAATAAGTCTGGGCACTGCCATAGTGTCAGCTCTTTCCATCGCGGAAGCTGAGTGTGGAATCTGGGCCCCGCGTCTTGCTGGCCTCCCCAGGCCCTCGGCAGCCGTTCCTGCCTCGACACCATTTCTGGAGCGTTTCCCCTTCCTGCGGTCCGTGTGCCCTCGCGGTGGCTCACGGGGCAGCTTCCCCTGCTTGGCCGGCGTGGGACCCCCGCGCAGTGGCTGCACACCCTCCGTCCATCTGCCTGTTGTGTGTGTGCAGATGTTCTTTATGGCCCACACTTAAATTGCATTTTATACTTTTCAAAATATTTTCCCATCGACCCATCTACTGCCTGGTGGGCTTTATGCTATTTGAGAAACTCTGTGGATATGAAAGAAGCCACTGCCCCAGGGGTCTTGCTAGGGAAATCACACTTCACTCCTTGAATGTGACAGAACCTATTTTTTCATACACATAATGTGAAAAGAATGATCTAGTGAAGTGTATATACCAAAGTACGTGTCAGGCACTGCCAAGAATCACTTTTGGCGGCTGTGTTCCCTCATCTAAAGATAATGTGACAAGCTGTGGCACAGAACGTGCTTCGAAACTGCTATCAAACAGAAATATTGTGAGTTCAAATACATTTTGCTGAGAGGGTGAAGATCACTCTTACATGCCCGAATGGCAAACTTCACATGTTAGCAAGATAAGAAACTGCTAAATTATTTCCTCCCCATATTCCAGTACAGGTCTCAGATGATAAAGTAACAGGATCCACGATATAGTAATCAACATTTTTTAAACAGTCTAATAATGCTTTAAACCAAAAGAAAAGAAGAATTATTTAAGGAAATTGTTCTTATTCTAAATTTACTTTTTTTCTGTTTGTTCTTAGTTATAAGGATTTCAAAGACTTTTAAATAGTAGAATAACTTTAAAATCCTAGTTAAAATAAAACCAAAAGGTGGCATTTTATAGTCGTCTCTGCTGCTTTCCAATCAGGCCAGTAACATTTAAAGCAACAAGTTAGCCCAGTTATGTGAAAATATCTTCCTGCTAGTTTTATAGAGCTATTTTATACAATTTGACAAGAATAAAACTTGGATGATATTTCATGAAAATGCTGCTTCCTCTGAAATTTGAAGTTCATTTTAGTTTATCTAAGACATCTTATCTTGAGGCAATTAAAGAAAAAATATTTTACTAAAATTATACTAATCCTCAAGTATATGCCTGAAAAGAAAGGGCTCTTTTAAATGAATAATTCTGAAATCATCAGGTTAACGCCCTTTTCTAAATTCCGGGAATACTTAACTGCTACAATTAAAATTATCAATTTTTATAAGAGCTTTCTTCTGACTTAAAGACAAGTAACAATTAAGCACCATCAGTACTATCTAGTACGATATCTAGTACCACATCCACCACATCTAGCACTGCATCTAGTCCTCAGCACCCTCTGAGTTACATGGGGTAACTTTTGTTCTTTGACATCTATTTGCATTTGAAAATCTGAGACATTTGTTCAGCTATCAGCAAAATGTTGCACATATCATGGATGGAGACAGGAAAGATAATGATAAAACTGAAGCAAAAATGGAAAGCAAAGCCGCCAGCTAAACGTCTTTGTCCGACTCCGCCCAGGGAGTTCCAGGTGAGACCCAGGGATCGCGGAGCAGGGATGCTCGGATCGAGGCATGGGCATTGCTTGAGCCCAAGAGCTGTGATGGTGCCACTGAGCTCCAGCCTGAGTGACAGAGCCAGACCCCACCTTTAAAATAATAGAAACAAACAAGGTGTCTTTTAAACAGAAGCACACACAAAACAAGGTTGTGTGCTGATGGACTGATGAAAACATTATAAGCCTACCCCGCACGTCCCCGGGTGCTCTGGTTCAGTGTTGGTGGCAACTGTGTATTAATAGACAGAAGCACAGAGGGTGGATGCACACTCGTTTTTCCTGCCCCGTTAGAACTGCATGGCGATGGTGGAGCAGAACCAGGTGTGGATTGGCTCGGAAGACTCCGTCATCTACATCATCAACGTCCACAGCATGTCCTGCAACAAGCAGCTCACGGATCACCGCTCCAGTGTCACGGACTTGATTGTGCAGGACGGAAACAAGGCGCCCAGGTGCGGGTGGGCTCTGCTGGGAGAAGGAATGGTTTGGCTCTTGGGTGGGGCAGGGTCGGCAGAGGGTGGGGTTCCTGAAGTTCGTGCCCACAGGGACCCCGAGGGGTGCAGAGGGACGCGGGTCTGGAACGAGAAAAGCCCGGTGATGTTCTCAGTCTGTTTCTGCTCACGGGTGCAGAGAAATGCGTTTCTCTTGGGAGACCGTCCCAGGCTAAGCATGGCAGTAAAAGGTACAGCACTCGCCTCCCTGCTGAGTCATCATGGGGTGTGGTGGCCTGTGGTAGCCCAGGAAGGTCACACCCCCGCCCTCCAGGAGATAGGCCAATTGTGACATCAGAAATCTGGATTTGTGTGTGGGCTCTCCTCGGTTTTCAGCGTTGCCTCCATTTTGCACATGTCATTGTATCCCAGCCCCCCCCCCCCCGCCCCGCCCCAGAAACGTCCCCGAAGGCCAGCAGCTGCAGCCTCTGGCCAGGACTGAAGTGGGGGCCTCGTCCTGCCCAGCGGAGCCTGCCAGCCTCTGAGTGCTCTGCAAAGCACTTCCAGGTGGTGGTCTCCAGTGGAAGTACCCTAATTCTTTTTGTTTTCTGGGTTTTGTTTTTGTTTTTGAGTTGGGGGTCTCACTCTGTTGCCCAGGCTGCAGTGCCGTGGAGTCATCATAGCTCACTGCAGCTCCAGCTTCTGGGCTCAAGCGTTCCTCCGTCTCGGCCTCTTGAGAAGCTGGGATTACTGGTGCGCCCCACCACGCCCAGCTGATTTTTTCTTTGGGTTTTTGTAGATATGGGGTCTTGTTATCACCTAGGCTGGTCTCAAACTTCTAGGCCTCAAGCGATCCTCTTGTTTGGCCTCCCAAGTGCTAGGATCACAGGCGTGAGCCGCTGCACCTGGTCAGCCCAGTACCTCATTTTAAAACCCACCAGTTTCTCTTTCCCTCTGCAGCCCAGAGCTGAGCGTGCCAGCTCGGTCCTGCCCTCCCTGGGCCGTGCGGGACAGGCGGCTCTGAACCCCACAAAGACGAGCGTGACTCTCATCACGTGGGCTATGCTGGTTCATCCCCCAACCCCTGCTCCACCGCCAGCCCTACCCTGCCTGGGACCAAGTCCTGGGAAACGAGAGATTTGAACCACAACATCCCAAGGTTGTTGATGGGGAGCTGGGGTCTGGCCCACGGGCTGGGGCCTCCATGCCTGCTCACTCTGTCCAGGGGGGCCTGGTCCCCTGCATTCCTGCCTGTCCCATGGGGAACCAGGATGTTCATTTCTCTGGCCCCATCCAAATTCCCCAGGCAGACCCCCACTTCCTACCTACCTTCTTGCTGTCTGTCCACTTACCACTTTCTAGCAAACGGCATATTTTACTATTGCATTAACGTCCTGGGCTGCCAGGACAGCAGACACCGCACAGTTCTGGAGGCCGGAAGTCCCATATCACCGCGCTGGCAGGGCCGCTCTCCCTCAGCCTGCAAGGGAGGCCCCCCCTCACTGTCCCAGCTCCGGTAGCTGTCCAAAGTCCTTGGTGTCCCTTACCTTGTGGACCCATCAGCCCCGTCTTCTCACAGCATTCTCCCTCTGTGCCCAAACCCCCATTCTCCCTCTGCACCCTTGTGTAAAAGGACACCAGTGGTGCTGGGTTAGGGCCACCCCCACAACCTTGTTTTCACTTGGACACCTCCATAAAGAGCCTATTTCTGAAGCAGGTCACATTCTGATGTCCTGGGGGCTAGGACACCAATGTGTCTCTTTTCGGGGGTAAAGTCTGACTCGTGGCACTTAGTTTCCTCCCTCACTGCCAGGGCTGTGTCTGGTCTGGCTGAGTGTCCGCAGCGAGCCCAGGGCCAGCACACAGTGGCTGCCTGGGAGATGAGGACTAGGCGGGTCCCAGGCAGCCCCAGCCCTGGATGCGGGGGTGGGGTGGGGGACCACTGCTCCGTACCCCTTCTCCCTTAGTTTCAGGGGCACCTGTGTCAGGCCTGTTCAGGTGGGGCACGAGGTGCTGCTGCAACCCACCCCCGCGGCCCCCTCCCTCGTGCTGGCACTGATGGTGAACTTGAGTTCCGAGGAGAGCGCGGGCCATCCCAGCCCCTCTGGGGACCGGCCCTTAGATGAGGCTGGAGTTCAGTCAATGGTCGGCCATGGTCCTGCTTGCTGACACCTCCCAGGCCCGCAGCACACACCCGGGAGGGGTGCGCGTCCCGAGAAGCTGCCTTTTCTGTGGAATTGGTTACGTTTTAACAAGGCCTAGCTCAGGCCACATTTGTAGGATGCTCAAGTGTTATTATTGATGTGGACGATACTTTATCTCATGGTAACTTTGTTCTTTCCCGGGTTAAGGGCTGGGAGTGTTTTGAAGGCCTTGATTAAATACCTGTGTGTGTCTTTTGAACCTCCAGGGAGGTTTTCTCGTGCAGTGTGGACGGGACAATCCTGGCTTGGAATGTGAGCACGCTGCGGGTGACCAGCCAGTTCCAGCTGCCGGGCGGCGGCCTCTCGTCCATCAGGCTGCACGGCGGCCGCCTGTGGTGCTGTAAGTCCTGGGGGAGTGGGGGCCGCGGGGTCAGGTACGCCACCTCCCTGCCTGGGAAGGGACGCCAGGTGAAAGCGAAAGCCTCTCTCGCTTCCTTTTCTTTGTCCATTTTTTATTTTAAACTCCAGCTCCTTTGCTGTGCAGCGACCTCTCCTCCACCCGAGTTTGCTGCCCTGCTGGGGCTCTCCACGACTCCCCCTGGCTTCTCTGCCCCTCACCCTGGGCGTGCCCCCCATGCTCCTGCCCCTCACCTTTGCTCTCTGTGCTCTGGGGGTGCACCTGGCCCAGGTGCCCGAGTTATGACTGCTCCTCCCTCAGCCCTTGGTGGTCCTGTCCCATGTCCCCATCGGGGGGCCTGCCTGGTGAGACAGTGCCATGTGATTGTCTCTGGTGCCCCTGCTCAGACCCGGGGCCCCGTCTGCAGGACCGAGCCAGGCATCTTGCCAGGGAGGGGCAGGTGCTCTACCTGGTGGCTCACATGCTGAGTTTCTGAATGTCCCCAGAGCACTCTGAGGTCTTCCTTGGCAAGTGCCAGGTTATGTGAGTGATGATCATGAATGTGGTTTTTTTTAATGGAAACATAGTTTACATATAGGAAAACACACAAAACAAGTGAACAGATTATCACATCTTGACAAACATACACCAGCCAAGATACAGAGCAGTTCCATCACAGCTTAAGGTCCCCTTTCCAGGCAATGCCCCCACTTGAAGGGCTATAGTTGTTCTTAGTTATGTCACTGTGAATTTGTTTTTTCCAGAACTTTCTATAAAATGGATCCTTCAGTATGTATTCTTTTGTATCTGGCTTTCTTCAGTCAGCATAATGTTCTTAGGATTCATCTCCCAAAGTGGCCGTACCAGTTTGCGTCCTTACATCCTCACTAAAACTTACCTATTTTTTTTTAAATTATTGAAACCATCGTGGTGTGAGTGAAGTGGTGTGCTATGGTTTTCTAACAGTTTTTTGGTGGAGTCTTTTTTTTTTAATTTCAGAATATTACAGGGGTATAAACACTTCGGGTACATGTACTGCCTTTGCACCACGTGAGTCAGAGCTACAAGTGTGCCCAGCCCCCAGAACGTGTGCACCGCACCTGTTAGGTGTGAGTCCACCCATCCCCTCCACCCTTGCTGGAGTCTTTAGGTTTTTCTAAGTAAAAAGATCATGTCTCATTAGCAAATAAGGCTAATTTTTCTTCTTCCTTTACAATTTGGATGTCCTTTATTTCTTTCTCTTGCCCAACTGCTCTGGCCAGGACTTTTAGTATTATGTTAAATAAAAGTGGTGGAGGTGGGTATTCTTGTCTTGTCCCAGATCTTAAGGAAAGGTATTCAGTTTTCCCATTTGGTAAAATAGTCTCTGTGAGTTTGTTATATGTGGCTTTTATGATTTTAGATTTGTTCCTTCTATACCCATCTTGATGAGAGTTTTTATCATAAAGGAGTGTTGAATTTTATCAAATACTTTTTCAGCATTTATTGAAATAATATGGTTTTGTATTTCTCTGGTCTCAGTTGTTATATCTCCGTTTTCAGTTTGATTTTATTTATTTTGGTCTTTTCTCCTGTTTTCTCTTAATCTAGGTAAAGGTTCATTGATTGTTGTTTACCTTTTCAAGAAAACAACTTTTCATTTCATTGACCTGTGTTGTTTTAGTTTCATTTCATTTGTTTCTGCTCTTTATTATTCCTTTCCTTCTACTAATTGTGGTTTTGATTAGTTCTTGCTTTTCTAGTTCCTAGTTGATTGAGGGCATTGTTCGGTGGTTTACCTGACGTCTCAGCTCTCCTGACGTAGGTGCTTGCAGCTGTGACCTCTCCCCGTGCCATTTCCCTGCATCCCAGAGTTTTGTGTGTTGTTTCCATTTTCATTCACTTCAAGAAATTTCCGCATTTCCTTCATAATGTCTTCACTGCCCCACTGCAATGTTGTTTAATTTCCATGTGTCGTATAGTTTCTGAGTTTCCTTTTTATTCCTAGTTTTTTTCCTTTGTGGTCAGAAAAGATACTGGATATAATTTCTACTTTTTAAAATTTGTTGAGACTTGTTTTGTGACCTAAGATGTGGTCTGTTCTGGAGAACGTTTCATGTGCTGATGAAAAGAATGTGTGTTCTGCAGCAGGCGGGTGGAACATTCTAGAAACGTCGGTTAGGCCTGTTTGGTCTCGGGTGCATTTTCTCACCAGATGTTCTCTAGGTGATCTGTCCGTCTGCTATCCTGGCACTGCACCCTGTCTTTCCCTTACATCTATTAATGTTTGCTTTGTACACTTGGAGATCTGAAATGTCTTCCCAGCTCTCGAATGTTCCAGTTACTGCTTTCTGCTGTTTATATGCAGCTTAGGAATCAGCCCAGAAGTTGAGGAAAATTTATATATCCACATATATATATTTTGGGGTGCCCTCATTTTGAGGACATTTCACCTCCATTTCCACCTGCACTGGCAGCCTTAAGTTGGCCCCTCAGCCATGTGCAGTGACACTTTTACCCCCCAACCCCAGTGCCCTGCGGAGAACTAGGCAGAGCTGGAGAGAAGCTGGGCACGTACATAGCTCTCCACGTTTGTGTGTTCTCCTTCAAGGGCCACATCCCCTCGGCTGTGGTTGGTTTCCAGTGGCTGACAGACGTGTGTACGTGTGCTTGTGTCTGGGGGGGGGGTCCACCTGTGGATGCAAGCTGACCAAGTCTTGGGCTGAAAGGTGCCTGTTGATTATAGCTGGGAGATTAGAACGAGGATGGACAGCCTTGCTTTGAGGATGGAATCCCTTATATTTTCCAACTTAATACAATAAGTAGGGTTTCTTCAGGTAAAAGAGAATATTTGCTTATGAAGTGTTATAAGTCTTCATCTAGACAGGGATGGCAAGCAAGCAAAGATCCTGGTCTCCCATCAGATGCCATCAGTTCAGGTGCTTGGCTCACGCCCTTGTCTCTGTTCCATGCAGGTATCTATGGGGGCCGAACACAGCCTGAAAGAGACCTGGGGGCAGGGTGGGTGGTGGCCCCGGGCTTCCTCTCAGTCCCCTGGCGGTATTTCAGGTGGGCAGCTCCTCCTGGGCACCACCAAGCCTCAATGTTGCCTGGAAGGCTGAGCGCTCAGGGCGTTTTCTGGAAGGGAAGTGGACGCCTGCCCCATCACCCGTGCTCAGAGGCTGCCAGCTTGATGGGTGTACTCACGGTTCGGCTGTGGCTTCCCCGTGCATTCAGGCTCAATCCAGGCCTGGCCACCAGATGTGTGGTCACCGTGGGTGGGCCCCTCAGCCTCTCTGAGTCTGGTTCTCCATTTGAAAAGTAAGATGTAAACACCGCCCGTCCCAACCTAAAGAGCGCTAAGGGTCAAGAGAGGCTGGAAGCCAAAGTACTGTCAGCTTCCAAGTGCACACTGACTGTGTTAATGACAGCGACCCAGAACACACACCCAGGGACACTGCTCTGGCCCAAATGTGAAAGGGGACACGGGACAGGACCAAAACTTCGAAAAGGGGTGAGAAGTGAAGCAGCAGAGTAAGGGTGACCCCCCCTGGCTGCAGCCCAGTGCCTCAGCCCTGCACGCAGGGCACCCTAAGAACTGCCACTTTCCCTTGCCAGCCTCCCCCACGCTGTTCCCTCTGGTCCTGCCCTTGCCCCCTTTACTCTCTTTGTCCTTTAGTCCCGGGTGGGACAAAGCCATCCCCAGACCCACCTGGGGGGACAGCAGTCCATACTGCCCACACCTGCCACCCCAGTTGGCCTTCTGTGTGCAGCAGGCTCCCTGCACGTGGCCACAGCCAGGGTCCTGGTCTGAGCTCCAGCCCCTGGGGCCCAGGCAGCATCAGCGCGTATCTGTGAGTTTATGAAGAGCCGGGAGTGGTTTCAGAGCTGGCAGTCCCACACCAAGGAGAAGCCCAGGGGCCAGAGGACCCCCGAGGTCCAGGGTGGCTGAAGCCCCTCAGCAGATACGCTTCCTGTAGCTCGTGCTGCCCAGTGTCCCCAACAGACAGCAGCATCCTGAAGGGCCCCATCAGTTAGTCCAAGTGGACAGTCGTGCACCAGGATGAGGCTTCCTGCAGGGTGCTGGCCTTTGGATGCGAGGTCTCAGGAAAAGCAACACTTAGCCGGACTTAGAAGCAGGAAGGAGAGGTGTAAACCCGGCTTAGCTTCAGAGCCACTGGGTGGCCAAGGACCGAGGGTGCCATTCCTCAGATGAGGCTAGTGTGGTGGGTCTGAGTCCCGTGTCCCCTGCAGCTGCATGAAGCCAGCATGGCGTCTCTAGGTGGGAGCACTTCCTGCTGCTGTCTGGGCGCCCTCTGCCCCCCGCACTGGTGCTCCCTGGGGCCTCTTCGATCGCGAACTGGCTTCTCCCTCGAGATGTGGATGGGGCTCCCCGCAAAATGGGCACGTGTCTTCCTGTCCTCCCAGCCCTGACACTGGCTCTGCGGCTTCAGTTCCTGGGTAGGGGGTGGAGGGATGTGAGGAATGAAAGCAAGAGAGGAAAGACAGGCACCACCTTTAAAGACAACTTCGGTCTTCTCTGTGGACGTGATTTTACTGGCTTATCGCTCTCATGGGTGTGGAAACACTCGTGGTTTGCAAAACACTTTCTATTTGAGTGACGAGTAGAAACAGACCCAGACGCACTTAGAACAGCAACACAGAGCCGTGCTCCACAGATGCAAGGTGCTAGGGCCTCGAATTCGAGCAGCCGCTAACTGGGTTGGGACCAGTTTGGCTTCACGGGACGGAAAGCCCCAGACACCCATGGCGGGAAAGCTGAAAGTGGGTGCACAGCTCGGAAGAGGGTGCTGGGTCTGGTGGTTTCGTCGGTGAAAAGGGGGCTCACGGCCCCACGTGCGGCGGTGCGGCGTGGTGGCGAGGGGACGCCACAAGTGCCATGGGGCGGGCAGGGCACGATGCCAACTCCAGCCGGCGCGGGCACAGGAGTCGGTGCTCACCTGTCTCCAGCCCGCTCCGCCTCCCTCATCCTAGCTCCGTCGTTCTGCAGGTACCAGCAGCAGCATTGTGGCTGTAACCACGAATGGCTTTCTTCGTCAAGAGTTGAAGATCAAAGAGAACTTTGGAGAGACGAGCACGTCCTTCCTCACCTTCCAGCTCCTGCCCGAGGTACCAGCAGCGTCTGTGCGCCCGGCACGCGGGCCCTGCCTGCCACGGCCGCGGCCACGTCTCGATCTCTCTTCCAGCAGGAGCAGCTGTGGGCGGCCTGTGCGGGCTACAGCGAGGTCTTCATCTGGAGCCTGAAGGACCTGTCCCAGCCCCTCGCGAGGGTGCCCCTGCAGGACTGCTCCGAGATCAGCTGCATGATCAGGGTGAAGCAGCAGGTAGGGGGGGAGGACTCCCCGCCACATCCCCGCTGCTGACGTGTGCCTCTGCCCTCACCTCTCAGGTCCCTGCTGTCCTGAATGGGAACAAGCAGAACGGGCGCCACTGGGCCCCGCAGGTTGTCATGCACCTCAGCCGCGGGTTTCATGGTGTCGCTAAAACACTTGGAACCTGATGTTCCCAGGGCTGCCGTAGCAGATTACCCCAAACTGTGTGGCTTAAAACAATAGGCCCTTATCTTCTCACAGTCCCCGAGCCTGAGGGTCTGGAATCGAGGTGTCAGCGGGCCTCTTCTTTCTTGGGCCTCAGTGGGACGATGGAGTCCCCGCCCCTCTCTCAGCCTGCGGTGCTGCCGGCAGTCCCAGTGCTCCTTGGCTGTGGACGCATCACCCCAACCTGTGCCCGCACCGTTGTGCAGCATTCCTTGTCTGTCTCTGTCGCTCTTCTTATGGGGACCTCAGTCACACTGGGGGGGCCCACCCTGCTCCAGCCTAACCTCAGGTTAACTGGCTACCTCTGCAGCCTCCACTTCCACGTAAGCGCACATTCTGAGGTTCTGGGGAAGGACATGGTTTGGGGGGATACTATCAACCCACCAATGTCTGCCCTCTGGCCCCCCAAAATTCACATGTCCCACATGCAAATCCATCCACTCCATCCCAACCTCCCTCAAACTCTTAACCATTCCAGCATTAACTCTGAGTCCAAAACCCCATCTAAACAACCCAGCGGCCTTAGCTACGGGCGAGGCTGCAGGTACTGTCCCTCCTGGGGCGCAGCTCCTCTCCTGCTGCGAACCTGTGCCACTAGGAACCAGTTCTCTCTTCCCAAGATGCAGTGGTGGGACAGGCAGGGGCCAGACATTGCCATCCCAAAGGGAGAAATCAGAGGGGAAGAGGGGCTGCAGTTCCCAGGCAAGGCTGAGACCCAGCAGGGGAAATGCCGTTAGTTTCCCAGCTTCACTGAGCTATAACTGATAAGAAAAAATTGGATGTACTTAAGGTCTACAACTTCATGTCTTGATATACATTCTGAAATATTCACAGCAATCAAGCTAATTAACATGCCTATCACCTCAATAGTTAGTTTTTTTCTTTTTGTGGTGAGAACACTTAAGATCTACCCCGTTAGCCAATTTCAAGTACACAACACAGTGCCGCTAACCGGAGTCACGTTGTCCATTAGGTTTTACGGCCTGAGAAGGGCCCTCTGGGCCCGCCAGGTGGCCCCCGCCTCTCAGCCAGCAGAGGCCCTGCCCAGGAGGGCACAGATTTCGGGGTGCACATGTCCACCCAGGATGCCAGGTGGAGCACCGTGCCCTGGGAGGGCCCTTCCCGGCTGACGCCCTTCCCGTCTGTCCCCGGCAGATCTGGGCGGGCAGCAGAGGGCTGTCCCAGGGGCAGCCCAAAGGGAAGATCTACGTGATCGACACCAAGACGAGGAGTGTGGAGAAGGAGCTGGTGGCCCACGCGGACGCCGTGAGGACCCTGTGCTCGGCCGAGGACAGATACGTGCTGAGTGGATCGGGCAGGGATGAGGGCAAGATCGCCATTTGGAAGGTCGAGTAAATGTGGGTGACTGCTCTGTGAGCGAGGACCACGTGTTCTCGCCTGCTTTCTGGAGCTTTCCCGGGAGCAGGGCCCCCAGGGGGCTGCGGGGAGGCAGAGCCATGCAGGGCAGGGTGGGAGCCGGCATGTCCAGCACACGGTCCCTGACGAGAGGGGCCGACAGCCACACACCTGCTTTCCTGGAGTTGCCTGCTGTGATTAAACTACACCAGGGCGCTTCATGCTGGGGGCTTCTCAGGCAAACAGCCGCATTTGGTCTGCATAGCCTCTGCCGAGAACTTACCTTGTATGTCATCTAGAAAGTTCTGGAATCCACAACCAGGGGGCAGCAGCATGGCTGAATCACAGGTGACCCTCATGCCTCTGGGTTTGCCTTTCCTTCACCTCATTCACGCACTCATCTGTCCTTAACGCCAGGGGACGTTGGCCTGGCACATGGCGGGGAACTAGAGCCCTCCTACCTCCTGTGGACATCGTGTGCCTGGTGAGGCCTGTGGGAAGGTGTAGTTTACTTAACCACTTTGTGCTCTGTCTCCCATCAGAGCAGGTGACCAGGGCCCACCCAGGAGGAGGTGACAACACCGTGGTCAGGTTTGTCCTGCCAGGGGTTGGGTCCGCTGAGGCAAGCTCTGTCTTGGTTCCTTTTCTTTTTATAGAGATGGGGTCTTGCTGTGTTCCCCAGGCTCCAGGCTGGATTCAAACCCTGGGCTTCAGCAATCTTCCCACCTCAGCCTCCTTATAGCTGGGACTACAGACATGTGACACCACACTTGGCTTCTTTGAATGTAAAATTTTTATAATGAAGAAACCTAGAGGCCAGGTGCAGTGGCTCGCGCCTGTAATCCTAGCACTCTGGGAGGCCAAGGTGGGAGAATTGCTTAAGACCAGGAATTTGAGACTAGCTTCAGCGAGCCTCAGTCTCTACAAAAAGAAAAAATTAGCCAGGCATTATGGTGAGCACCTGCAGTCCCAGCTACTTGGGAGGCTGAGGCAGGATTGCTTGAGCCCAGGAGTTTGAGGTTACAGTGAGCTGTGATGATGCCACTGCACTCTATCCTAGACGACACAGCAAGACTGTCTCCAAAAAAAAAAAAAAGCTTAGACCATTTTTCCTACCAAAGATCACTCATAATCAAAAAGTTCCATCTAAAATAGCACTTGGGATTTGGTCTTCTGGTAAAGATACTACCAGATACTGGTGTACATTTCAATTCCATTTGCATTTTGTGTGCATATATGGTTTATGTATGTGATGCTTTATTATTTAACTGAAAAGATCCTAGTTGTAAATAGATATTTGCAAAAAAGACCCTTTGCACATTTTTACTATAACATCGAGGTTTCATTCCTTACATGTCCTGCGAGGAAGGTCTTGGCGTGGTTGTGGGGGGAGCACTGCCTGGCAGCACGTGAGGGCATGTGGCCCACCCCCTGCAGAGCCACCCCACACTACACCCCAGAGCCCTGCTGGACTCTCTGCCCTGAGTCCTCAGGACTAGACTCCAGAGCTTGCGCACCCTGAGGGTCTCTGGGGGTGTTTGTCAGGCTCCGGCATGGGGCCGAACTTCAGAAGCACTTGCAGGGCCTCCACATGGAAACTTGGCCCCGTTCTCGGGTGGGGCATGTCACGGACCTCTGTTTCCCACCAAGGTTTGGCTTCACGTAGCCCCTGACTTCTGGGGCGTTGTGGGAATGTGGAGCAGAGAAGAGCTGTGCGGCCTCCTGCTCCCCGAGAGGCTGCGCTTGCAGAGGGGGGCTGTTCCCGACTTCTAGAAGGAAGACTTGGCCAGCAGCAAAGGGCAAAAGGTCAAATTTTGGTTTTGTAAACACATGAATACTTCCTGTCAGAAACATCTCTATAAATTATTTAACGCCAATCCACAAGTAACCAGGTATTTTCAGCTTGTGGATAATAAATTCTTTCAATAAGCGCTGATGTGCAGTTTCCTCTCTCTGTCCAACACTGATGGGTGGATGAGGTCTCGACAAATCCAGTACCATTTTGAATTTGCCCTTACTTCACTCTAAGTGCCAATCCAGTTATTTTAATGCAGGCTTTTCATTTCTTTGACTCATGTGATAATTTCCAAGATCTTGTTTGATAGTGATTGCATTTGAAACAACCAGTGCGGGAATACCAGGGGCTCTTGGGAAATGGTCATTTATACAATAGAGAAGAATGAGGTGAATAAACGGGCTGAGCCAGTGTAGGGTTCTGTGTTTACGTCAACAGAACCCTTGCAGTGCAGTGGGGTTTGCTGACATGAAAGGGGCATTTCGATGCTTTCAACTTTCCTCTGTGCTTTGGAGAGATTCCGTTATGAACGATCTGTCATGGAAAAGACCAAAATGAGCTGGAGTTCATTAAACAGACTGTGATGCCTCCCCTGCCCCAGCTTTAGAAACCTGAATTAAATTGGTACAAAAAGATGTTTCTCTTGAACCCCAAACAAATATATTTTAGTATAATTTCAGAGCCCCCCCGTCCATGTTTCTTGCTCCACAGCGCCAAGCAAAAGCCCATCTCAGCTCTCTGCTGTAGACCAGCCGTTGTAAAGATGATCAACTGCTAACAGCTTTATGAGTTGTTCTTGGAAGATGTGTACACATCGACTATTCTCGAATGATAGCCCGTGAAATTGTGTCTGTCACAATTCCAGGTGACATGATTCCTAGTGACTGTGACTGTAACATCTAAATTAAAGGTGCATGACTTTTCTCGAGGATTCCTTGGGAAAATGAACAAGCACGTTCTCCAAGCGGCTGGGGAGGGCATGGTTGGAAGGCCAGGCGGAGCTGCCTCGTGGTCTCTGCTGTCGGCTGCTGTTTGCATTTCTTGCATCAACGCTGTGGCATCCCCCAGAAGGTGAGGCAGAGGTGCACATGCAGCGCTGGTTTCTCTCTCCCACACTGCAGCTGCATGACCCTCAGTGTGCTCAGGATGGGAGAAGCTCCGGATTTCTGTGCCTTGGGACGTAGAGGCAGCCTGGGGCCCTGGGCATGGCAGATGGACCAGGGCCTGGTCTGGGGATCTGGCCATATGACCTGAGCCCCCTGTACCTTGTAGGGCTGGTGTGGAGACTGAGAGGGCACATTACACATCCAGTCCACTGGTGGGCACCAGGAACAGCTCAAAGAATATTCCATCCTGGGTGGCCAGATGGGCTCTCGTGAAAGAAAATATTAAGGAAAAGAAGTAAAAATATGATCGCTAATTGTAGTGGGTTGAATGGTGGCCCTCAAAAAGATATGTCCCTGTCCTACCCCTGGGACCTATGAACATGACCTTATTTGGAAAGAGGCTCTTTGTAGATATAATTAAGGATCATGAGATGAGATCATCCTGGATGTAGGCTGGGCCCTAAATCCAATGACAAATGTCATAAGGAGAGGCAGACACAGGGACAGACACGGAGAAGGCCATGTGAAGGTGGAAGCAGAGATAGGAGTGATATGGCCACATGCCAAGGGCACCTGGAGCCACTAGAAGCTGGAAGAGGTGAGGAAGGACCCTTCCCTAGGGCCTTCAGAGGAATCAGGTGCCCTGCCGACACCTGGACTTGTGGCCTTCAGAACTGAGAGAAAATAAAATTCCACTGTCTCACCCCCCCCCCTAGTTTGTGGACACTCCTACAGCTCCCATTTATCGAGTGCTTGCTGGGTCAGGTGCTGCACCAGGCACTTTAAAGGATCATGTGTACACTACTGTGTATAATCCTCAGAACACTGTGGCGCTGGGAGTCCCCACTTTACACGTGAGGATGCTCTGTCTCCAGGACAACAGAGCAAGGTGGAGGTTGCAGGGCATAAATGCTCCCGTTTCCAAGAAGTCAGGAGCAGTTGTCTTTGAGAGGACCTCAAGAGCTGCTCTTGATCTAACATGAAGCTTTCCTTTTAGCTCATGTTCTAACTTAGCAAGGTGCAGAAGCGGGAGGCTGCGGCTGGTGGTCCTGAGATGTGTTAGCAGCCCCTGCCCTGATCAGGGAGAATCCTGGGCTGAGGGAGAGGGTAGGCTCACCTTTGGTGATGGGGAAAAGTAAATCTCACCAGCTCTGCATCTTTCCCTGAGGGTCAAGGGGGTGTATTCTGTGGCCGTGGGCCCTGGGCCAGTGACGCATTCCTGTGGCTCTGCTGGGTTTAAGGGTGGTCAGCCTGAGGTTAGCAGGCTTAGGCGGTATGTGCAGAGATTGATGGGAGGATCAAGTGACATGAAGTAAGACAATGGTGTAGTTGATCCTGAGCATCACTAACAGCCCCACATGGATGGCTATATAATTGAATGTTTTTTAAAAAAATAGATTTACCAAAAAGGCAGGAAAGGAATGACAGAGGAACAAAAAACCAGGTATGACAAATAGAGAACAAGTAGCAAGATAACAGACTTAAAACCTAACCATATTGATAATTATATTAAGTGTAAGTGCACTAAACACTCCAAATAAAAGAGACTGTCAAACTGGATTAAAAAAATGAGACTGAATTATATATTATCTACAAGAGATGCAATTTAAATATATATAAAAACACAAATGGGATAAAAGTATACCATGCAAACAATAAACATAAAAAAGTTGGTATGGCTATATTAATAGACAAAACTATTAATAGACAAAACCTACTTCAAGGTATATTATAAGAAACAAACAGGGATATGCATAATATCAGTAAAAGATCATTAAGAAGACATAATAATCCTATATGTATTATATATACACTTAATAATAGAGATTCTAGACACACAAAGCAGACATGGGAGAACTATAGGAGAAAACAGACAAATCCACAATTATAGTTAGAGATTTTAATACCCTTTCCTCAGTGATTGATAGAACAACAAAAAATTAGCAAGGATACAGATGATCAATAACACTATCAACCAGCTTGGCTTGACACAGAACACTATACCCAACAACAGGAGACTACCCATTCTTTTCCAATGTACACGGAATGTTCATCAAGCCACACGATGTGCTGGGCCACAAAATGAACTTGAAAAGATTGAAATCTTACAGAGTATGTTCTCTGACCACA